GAGCGACCAGTTACCCCTTGCCCGCCAAGGCTCCTGGAGTCGCCCCTCTGTGCTGGGTCGGCCGCTCTGGAGGCACCTGCAACTCTGTGCACATGACTTTCCCGTGGGGGGGCACAAGCTGACGGGGCGACGGAGCAGGAGGCCACTGCAGGTTGAGGAGCAGCCGGCTGGGGGAGGCCTTCACCGCTCAAACCGGCCCAGGCCCTGCCTACATCTCTGGCTCCCGCCAGGCCTTGGGCCTGCCCGGCTCATGCCCACCCACCACAGGTCTCCCCGTGGAGCTCACCTGCGTCCTCACCCCTAGCCAGGCTCCCCAGCTCCCGCCCCACGCGCCCTTGGGTGTTTGCTGCGCCAGGCCCGGGGGCTCCAGGAGGGCGGGTACTCTGGGTTTAAGACACCGAGTGGAAGCTTCCAGCCACGTGGAGACACGGCACGGCCCAGCGGCCCAGCCCTTTAGTGTCCGCACAGCTGCTCGGCGGGGCTCTTTCCTCTTGGACATTGTCACTCTGTCCCCACCTTCCTGTGAAGCATCCAGTTGTCCTTGGAGGATTCTCCTCCTGCTCAGGTTTCTGCTTGGAAACCCAAGCTCGGTTGGCTGCCTGTCCGGGGCATGTGAGGCCAACTCGGAAAGGTGGCAGATGACCGTGGGGACAGGAGTCACTGAGCGGTCACCCGCAGGGAGTCCAAGCTGGTGGAACGTGGCCACCCTTTGGGCTGCCTGGGAATCCAGCCACACAGAGCAAAGTAGGATCGAGACAGGAAAGAGGAAGCCCTCGGATCAGACACGCCAGAAACCCAACACGCCTCCTTTTCAGAGATGTGCGCCGAGCGCTTCCTCTTGCGTAAGCTGCTTCCAACAACTTTCTGTAGCGTGTCATCCCAGCTCTCCTGACCCAGGCAGGGTCCGTGGCCCATGAAAGACCCGTGATCTTAGCCCATTGTTCTGTTGTGGTTTTTTTTCCTTCCTTCCTCCCTGCCCCCTCAGTCTGGTTTTTCGTAGTAGAATAATTCGTAGGGGCAATTGGTATAGTAGAAAAATTTTATCATATGCTTTGTCAATGTTTTCTCTGGTCTGTAGTTTGTGTGTATATCTGTGTATTTCTTTACAGTCTTTTTGTTATGCATAATTTAAAGATTGTTATATAATCCAGTGTCCATTTCTCCTACAATTTATGGGATTTAATTTTGCTGTCTCTTTTTAAGGCGATGCCCTTTATCGGATTAAGGGCTTGTTCCTCTATTCTTATTTTGCTGAGAGATTTCTTTAAGATTTCTTTGTTGATGCATACAAGAGCTGGGGTGCAGGCCAGTGGTGTGTGTGGGGGGAGATTATGCACCAGAGACAGAGACGGGAGCAGAACAGGCAGATCTATTGAAATATACTGGGGCCCTCCCTGGGGGGACAGGGGGTAAGTCCCAGCACTATGAAGCTATGGGCAGCCACTGCAGCACGAGTCTGCTCCCCGACCAGGGAGTGACCCCCTGGGTGCAGCAGACCCCTCCTGTCTCCCTGCTGCTCCCCTCACAGTGTGTCTCAGTGGATCCGCCTGTTCTGCTCCCCACTCTGTCTCTGGGGAGTCCTCTCACCCCCTGCACTTCTGGCCTGCACCCCCGCTTTTCTACATAAAAGTAAATAAAACCTTAAAAATAAAAGAAACACGGCTGAGGGGGCAGCAGGAGACGGGAGAGGCCTGCCGCCCCCTGGGGGTCACTCGCTGGCCGGGGATGGACTCAGGCCACAGCGGCTGGCTAGCCCGAGATTTACCCCGAGCCACCAGGGAGGCCCTGGAGCTTTGTTTAATGACTTATTTCCACGGAGGCCATTGTCAAGGGGCTCCGTGTGTCTCTGCCCAAGTGGGGCATTTTCAGGGGAGAACGGGGCGTGGGCTTAGAAGAGTTGGGGTGTGCTGTGTGGAAAATGACAAAAGGAGGGCAGTCCTGGAGCCCCAGGGCGGGGTGCTGCGCCCAAACCCAACTGTTCTCGGACAGTGTTGGGTCTTCTTGGAGCGGACCTTGGGTCCTCCCGACGGTGTGGCCTCGTCGGAAGCCAGGGGCGGCCTGGGGAGTGAGCTTGGAGGCGGCGGCCCGGTCCACCCCCGCGCCAGAGACCCCTGGCCCGCCCAGGCCCCGCCCGTCTCCAGGGACCTGTCCAGCATCGCCTAGAAGGGAACCATGGCCGTGGCCCCAGGCCGGCCACTCGCCCAGGGTCCGTCCGAGCGCGGCGCACTTGGCGTCTCTCCTGAAGGCCGAATGACGCGGCCTTGCGCAGCCCCCTCAGCTGACTGGCCTTTGGGTGGAGTAACGTGCCCGGGCTTCCCTTCCCGAAGCCACCGCCATCTGCCCGCGGTCAGTGACCGCTGCTGCCCTAACCCTGGCCTCCGCTTCCCACTCAGCAACAGGCCGCGCCTGGACACCTGGACGCCCCGCGAGGCGCTCGGCCCCGCCCCAGGAGTCCCGCCCGCGGGCACCCCCGCTCCAATGCACCCCCCCCACCCCGCCGGGGCGGCCACACCAGAGGCCCCTTGCAGCAGCAGCCTCCGCAGAACGCGCGTGGCCGGGGTTAGGGTCGCGTCCGTGGGGAGTGACCCGTGCGTGGCCACCGGGAGCGGCCGCCTTCGCCCTCCCACAGGTGGAAATCCGCCCCCGGCACCATTTGTCCCAAAGTCTGCCCTTCCTCGGCCCCTGGCACGCTGGTGGGAATTCTGGCAACGAATGCTTGTTGTGTAACTTTTGGCAAACGCGAGCGTCTTTCTGAACGAGGAGGCCGCGCCGGACTCGCGGAGTGCTGACACCCGACTCCCTTGGGACTTGGAACCCGCCCGGCCCGCCATGTGCGAAGTGACTGGCCCTCTCTCCGCGGGGGTGATCCGCAAGGGGGGTGGCCTCCTGGACACAGCTCGCTGGTTTGGACCCCGCAGAGGAAGGACTCTGGCCTCTGCAGAGGCTCCCGGGAGGGTCCTGCTCTTGGCGCTGCCCTGGGGCCGTTGCTCGGCCCTGGGCGGACCCAGCCCACCGCCCAGAGCCCGGGGGGTGGGGCGGGAGCCTGGCGGGCCTGCCCCTGCCCTGTAGTGGTCCCTGCCAGGCCTGCCCGCCAAACCAGACAGGGCACTTTCTCCAGCGCGGAGGCCTTGCATGAACCCAGCTGCTGGGAGGGCGGCTGCTGAGCTGCCGGGCTGCGCGGGCACACGGGCTGCGCGGAGCCTGCCAGCACTCCAGGTCCAAGCAGCTTTGCAGGACAGAGAATGTGGCCTCAATGGCCCGTTTCAGTTATGTGCTGACTTGCCGGCTCACCCAGGTTCGGGGAGAAGCAGCAGTCTTCACCCTGACCGGCCCCCGCCCGACCCCCTTCACTGCGTGGGCCTAGGGCCCCTACCCTGTGGGCGGGCATCCGGCCGCCAGGGTGGGGCTGAGATCGCCTGCTGTGCCTGGAAGGACCTGGGGGCAGCGAGGCAGTCGCCGGCACAGCCCCAGACCCCTCCACCCCGAGGGTGCCCGTGGCCCCTGCACCCTGGGGTCTGGCTTCACCCTCAGGGCTTGACCTCCAAACCGGGCCAGACCACGGACACACCTCGCCCTGCAGCACCCAGGCCAACATCAAGTACTGCCCCCGCAAACAGAGATACCCAGGCGGGCTGCGGGCTTCAGGGGTGGGGAGGAGCGCGCATGTGACGGAAGAGGCAACAGCTGGCAGCGGGCGGGCGGGGGTGGCCGCGGGCAGGTGGCCAGGCAGTGGCAGAGGGCAGTCACATCACATTCTTCAAAGTCTACTTTCACAGGGTCTGGCTGAAGACCCTGTGAACGACAAATCTGGGGTGCGCGTCCACAGCGGGTGGGAAGGGCGTGGGGCGAGGGTGGCGCTTGGAGATACCCACAGAGCTACGCGCCGCCCAGGGCCTCACGTCCTGCTCGAACGCTCCCGAAGCAGTCTCCTTGCTCCAGACTGGGGTGTCCAAAAGAGCCTACCCGCCCCTGCCTGCTGGGGCAGCAGGAGGCCCCGGGGCTCCCACGGTCCTATCAGCGCCTCAGTGGGTGCCATGCCAGCGCCCGCCCCGTCGCTCGAGGGTCTACAGTGGGAGAGCCAGCGTCTCCCACCTCCTCCAGGCCTGCTGGACAGCGGCCTGCATCCAGGGCCCTGGCAAGATGGCGTCAGACAGCCCTGAGCTGGAGACCTCAGCTGGACCGCCAGCTGGCAGGAGAGACCCAGGGGCCGCCAGGGCGTCCCACAGCACCCAGGGCCTGAGCTGCGCCTTCCTGCCCTTGACACCTCTGGCCACACCGATGGACCCGCCGGGGCTGTGGCCCCCCCCAGGCCGCCGGCCCTGCTCCCACCTGCCTGCGAGGCCCCCGCGAGCCCTCTGTGGGGCGGGGCTCTTGACCGGACAGCTGGAGCCTGTAGGCCAGTGGAGCGCCTGGTTTATTAGCATCCCCGCGCCCGGGCAGGCCCGGCTCCTCGAAGGTGCTGGACGCGCGGGCCTGTTGGTGGGGGCCGGCTGCTTGTCCGCGGAACCAGGTGGTGGCGTCAGCTGGACAGCTCCTGGGGAGCCGCAGCCCCGCAGAGATGACTCCTAGGACGCAGCACAGCCCCTTCTGCCCGGGGAGCAGGGGAGGGCAGGCAGGGGCAGCGTGAGGGGCAGGACGGCACCCCTAAAGACAGTGGGGCGCCTCTTAAAGCGGTGTGGGGCGGGTCTTGCTTGGCCACGCCCCCAGCTGCTGCAGCAGGTCGGGGGGCTCCCCTGCCCCATCGTGAGGACTCCCTGCCCCATCGTGAGGACCCCCTAAAAGCAGGGGTCCCTCTCCTAAGGCCAAAGTGCAGGTGCACCACATCAGTGGGTGAGCAATGCTGGGGTCCACACCCCTATGCTGCTCGCCAGGCCCTGGATGGAGGCTGCTGGAAGGGGGTGCAGGAAAAGTGGAAAAGTGACAGCGGCTGGGGTGAGGGCACCGGGATGAGCTCTGGGGGTCCTGCGCCCAGAGGACCGGCCGGAGCTGGTTCCGGCCGCGCCAGGTGGGCGCTGGGGCTGGGCAAGGCCTGCCCCTCCCCCGGCCCATCAGGACGGCACTTTGACGCCGAAGTGCTTGCGGAGCTGTTCCAGAAACACGAACGTGAGCATGGTGTGGGGCATGAGGCGGATGCCGGCGGGCAGGAGGCCCTGCGGAGGGAGGAGAGTGGCGTGTGCGGACGCCCCTCCGGCCCCGCCACCCCGGCCCGCGCGGCCTCACCTTGTAGAAGGCCAGCGGCCCCAGCTTGGCGGTCTCCAGCGCGCAGTGCAGGACGCCCTGCGGAGGGGCAGGAGGGGTGAGGAGGGGCTACTCCCCGCCGAGGCGCCGCCTCCCCGAGACCGGGCCAGGTGCGGACACGGGCGCAGGAGGCGCCTCACCTGGTACTCGCCCTTGGAGCTCATCAGGCGGGTCTTCAGCACGTCCAGAGGCTGGCACAGGATGGTGGCGCACCCGCCCTGGGTGGGGGGGGGGTCACCAATGGCGGCCACCTCACCCCCCACCCAGAGGCCTGGCCCAGACACCCAGAAGGTGTCCCGAGGACCCACCTGGTACCACGTGGCCCTTGAGCTCGACCCCAGACCCCCGCCCCACTCATACAGCCCATCGGGGCGTCCCCCTCCCTCGCCCAGAGCCGGCCCCGCGCCGCCCCACGCTCACGGCAATGAAGCTGGCCACGAAGTGGGTGAAGATGCCGTCAGACAGGTAGCCCGTGCTGAGGACCAGCTGCTTGGCCTGGTCGTAGCAGGACAGCTGCGGGGTGGCGGGTGTCAGGGCCGTGGGGCACCCCAGCTCTGGGAGTGGTGGTGGGGGGCCCCTGACCCAGAGCACCCGCGTCCCCAGGACCCCGAGCAGGACGCCTACCTGGCCCACGGTGACCAACATCCCTCGGCTGGAGGCCATGGTTGCGCCCGAGAACAGCCGCTTCACGCCCTCTGGGGGGAGGGGGAGGTCGGCGCTAGGCCCACACCCCCGCCACCCCAGCCCCCAGGCCCTGCTCCCACAGGTGCTGCGGCAGCCCCAGGGCCCAGGCAAAGTGCCGGCTCCCCTCACCTTCCCGGGCCACGCGGAACAGGCCATCCAGGGCGTGGGCGTAGCTGTGGGGGACAGAGGATGACCAGTGAGGTGCGCCCTGTCCCCGGGGCCCAGGGAGGGACCCCCCTCGCAGCAGGGGGCTGTGCCGGGCCAGGGAGGCCGGCCTCTTCCACACCTCAGGGCTTCCTCCTCCAAGGGCGCCTCGGTGGGGGGCGGGGGGGGCCGTGACCCCCAAGTCCACAAGGAAATGCCGGCACCGCCTGCAGGCTGCCCTGCGGGGGGGAGGCCTGGCTCTAGCGGGTGGGCCTTCTGGGGAGTAGGAGTGGACTCTCACGGGGCACCCCACACCCGAAGCCAGCTGAGGCCGATGTGGGGGCGCAGCCACACGGGCGCAGGCCCGACAGAACCCCAGCTTCCATGGAAAGTGGCATTTTTGTCAGGAGCAAAGATCACAACTCTAGGGTCTGTTCAAAGGCCCAGACTCCCTGTCTCGGCATCCTGTGGGGGGGCGCTGCCGCCCGGTCCCCGCAGGCCGCGTCCTTCCCCGCCCCACACGGCCCCGCACCTGGCAGAGTGGCTCAGGCACCGTCTGCCCCTGTGTCCCCCACCGGCCACCCCCAGGGGCAGGAGCGACCAGCCACTCACTTTCGGCGCTGGTTCTGGGGCAGCTTCATGTCATTCTGCATCCTGAAATGACCACCGGGCTCAGCGGGCAGCAGCGGCCCTGCGCCCAGAGCGTGGGCGCGAGTGGCTGTGGCCGAGCCCCTGCCCTGGGCGGGGCCGCACTGACCTGACGTTGACCATGTCTGCAGGAGTCCCCATGAAGCCTCCGATGCAGCCTGGGGACAGACCCGGACCAGCGGGTGAGACGGGCAGTGCCCGCTCCCCGCCCCACCTGGCCCCCACCCGGCACTCACCACTGACAGCGCCCAGCAGCACCTTCTTGTAGAAGGGTGGGGGCCCCTGGGCGCCCCGGCTCATGTGGTCCCTTGCCGTCTCGTAGATGGCGAAGCGGGTCAGGGAGTAGGTCATCTGGGGAGGGCCGGATCAGGGGGCGCGGGTACAGGCCCTGTGGGGCCCCAGCTGGGGGAGGGCCCAAGGCCCTGCACTCTGGGGGTGACCGCAGCCTCGCCCCCCTTCCCAGGCCTGTCTCTCCATCGGTCACAGCCCAGGGCCTGCGGTTCCTTCCTCCTATGTGGCCTCAGAAAAGGGGGGGTTGCTTGATGTCCCGGAGTGCCCACACAGGTTAGAGGCGCCAACCGGACTTGAGGGCGCGGGGCCAGCCCTTCTGCCTGTCTGTGCTGCTCTGAGCTGGAACTGGGGTCAGGACGGGGGGCGCAGTGGAGGGGGTGGCGGGGTACCTGTCTGCACAGCGAGGCGCTGAGGCCGCTGTAGAGCGCCAGGACGCCGTCGGAGCGCACCACCCGCTGGGCCATGCCCACCATGCGCAGTTTCACCTCCTGCTGTGTCTGCAGGTGCACCTGGTGGGGGCACAGTGCTCAGTGCCCACCCCCCCAACAAGGGCCCCCCCCGCCGTTCACAGGACGCCAGCGACGTGTGCATGTGAGCCGCCGCGATCGAGTCCTTGAGAGCTTGGCGCCTACTGTGCGGTCTGGGTGGTCAGGTCCATTGCACAGGTGGGAAAACTGAGGCAGGAATTGGCCTCCAGCTGGGAGGCACCAGGCACCACTGGTCAGCCACACCCAGCTCCCAAGAGGGATGGAGCCGGGGGCCTCCGAGTCTGCCCCGCACATTGCACTGTCAGGGGAGACATGCTGGCAGGGGCGGCCCTCCTGGGCAGCTTGGCACTGCTCTCCAACCAGCCTCGCCCACCCCTGCCCCCAGGGCTGGGAGGCAGCAGGGGGTGGGGACGGGCCTCTGTCACGTGAGCCGGGTAGGGTGGCAGCACAGGGCACTGGGCCGGCGGGCAGGGTGGCCGTGTGGGCATCAGCTCCAGTCCAGACGAGGGGCAAGTGTGCAGACCAAGCCAGGCTGCGGGGCAAAGGGAGAGGCGCTCCGACACACCCCCAAAGCCCACGCAGTGAAGGACCAATGGGGCCACGCCACCGGCCCCCCAGGGCCACGGGCACCCAGCCACCGGCTCCCTGGGCCAGAGGGCGGCCGCCACCCCCGCTCGCTCCTGGCAGCACCCGGCAGCCAAACAGCACCTGGGGGTGGGGCGAGGGGCAGTGACGCCCTGCAGGGCCTTGGACAATGGACAAGTGCGTCCAGGTCACAGTTCTGTGGACACCCAGGCCAGCGGAGCGGGGCCCCCAAGGCTGCGCCCACCCGGGACCAGACAGCCTGAGAGCGGCCAGTGCTCCTGGGGGCGGGGCCCTGGGCCCTGCGTGGGCCTCCGGGAGAGAACACAGGCTGGGGGGGCTCTTTCCTGACACCCCAAAGTACCCCCTCGTGTCACAGCCACCCCTCTCTCCCGCGGACGGCCACGTGGGGCTCCCGCAGGCCAAGCCAGTCTCGGGGTGCCGTGGCCACAACTTCAGCCCGACTCCCGCCCGCGAGGCTGGGGTTTTGGCTCCGGAGCGGGCGGGGTGCCCGCAGGCGGAGGGGGCGGGCCGGCTCCAGGGCAGCCGGCTCGGTCAGCCCAGGTCCAGGCGCCACTCCCTCCCGGGCCTGGGCGGTGCGGAGGTGCGCCCAGGTTCACCGGGAGGACTCCTGGGCAGGCGCCCTGCCCTCTGCGCCTTCCTGCCTGCCCGAGAAAGGTCGGGCGGCGGGGCGCCGCGGGGGGCGCGGGGAGCGGCCGCCTCGTGTCCGCGGGCGTCTGAAAACAACGCACAACCTGCGCGGGGCCCCCGGGCGCCACCCCAGACCCGGCCGCGCCTGGGATCCCGGGCACCCCGCGGGGGAGCACGTCCCCCCGCCCCGCGGGCGCTGCAGCCGGCGCCGGCCAGGGCGGCCTCCACCTGCCGCGGGCGGGGGCCAGAGCGGGGCGGGGCGGCCGCGGGCGCCGAGCCCAGGGCCGCCCGCTCGGGCTGGGGGTGTCCCCGGGCAGCGGGGCCCAGCCGCCCCCGCAGGGCCCGGGTCCCCAGGCGGCGGAGCCCGCGAACGCGCCGCGCCCCTCGGGCAGGGCCCCCGGCGGGCGCCCGCAGGCGTCGGGGGCGGGTCGGGTCCGGGCCCGGGGCCGCCGGGGCCGCCGGGGCCGCGCCGCCTCACCTTGAGCAGGTCCAGCGGGTGGGTGCAGCAGGCCGCCCCGCACGAGGCCAGCCCCCCGAAGTACCAGCGCGACGCGCGCGCCTCCGCCGCCATGGCCCGCCGCGGCCGCGCTGCAGCGCCCGGGGCCGCGGCGGGAACCCCGGCCGGCCCCGCCCCGCCCCGCCCCGCCCCGCCCCCGGCCCCGCGGCCAATGCGCCCGCGCGCCCGGCGGGCCGGGGCGGGGCCAGCGGCGCCCCGCCCCCGAGCGCCGGGGCGGGGCCCCGCCTTAAAGCGGCCGCTCCGCCGACCCGTGGGCCCCGCCCCGCCCCGCCCCGCCCCGCCCCCGCCCGCAGGGTCGCGGCGGCGTCGGGCGCTCCGGAAGCTGCGCGCTCCGCCCGCGCCCCGGGGCCGCCCTGCCACCCGTCCCGCGCGGACGCGACCCGGCCGCAGAGCCCCCTCGCCTCGGCCGCGCCCCCAGCCGGCCGGCTCGGCCCGCCGCCTCCTGGACGCCGGGCGCGGGTCCGGGGAGGGGCTCCCGCCCCGCCGGCCGAGTGCCGGGCAGCGCCTCGCCGGAGCGGCCTCCCGGGCGCAGCCCCGGGTCCCCAGGGCGCCACAGGCCGGGGTCTCCCGAGAGGAGGCAGAGCCAGGGACCCCTCCCCAGGCACGACCTGGGGCCGCCATCCCCGTCCCGCTGGGCCCCTGGCGCCGGGAGCAGCAGGGGGGCTCCTCGCCCAGCTCTGCCCCCGGGTAGCGGCAGCCCCAGGGTGTGTAGGATGTGCGAACCCTGCGGCCGGTCAGCCAGAGGCGCCCGTGACCCAGGGAACCCCGCGGGACCTCCGACCTCTGAGGTCACGGTGGGGTAGTGAAACTGGGGGGTTCCAAGGGGAGCCCAGGGGTGTGGACTGGGGGTGTCAGTGCCTGGCTAGCCTGCTGTCCTAAGCGGGCAGTGGGTGGGGGATGCCCCAACGTGAGACGTGTTCCCCAACAGGAGGCCTCACAGCTTGACTCTGGAGTGGAGGTAAGGGGTTCCCCCAGAGGCGCAGGCCAGGGAGCAGGCCTTGTCCTCGGGGCCTGCACACCGGCCGCAGGCCTCACTGGCCTGAAACATCCTCCCAAGGGCTGGGCGCGGCCAGCTGTGAGGGCGCCACATAGGGCTGCCTGCGTACCCGCCATGCCCCACAGCAGGCCGGGAAAAGCCCCCGTGGGCTCCGCATACAGCAGGGCAGGCCCCGCAGCCTGAGAGGACGGGATGCTGAACCATCAGGGGCACGGGCACCCGACGTGTCCAGCCCACGAGAGCTGTGAAGGGCAGTCAGACCAGAGAAGGCTGGATGAGCATTCACGTGGGTTCTGCAGCTGTGGGTCAGGGGGCAGAGCGCGAGGGGCGGTGGCGGGTGGGCCCACAGCGCCTGGCAGCCACTGGGGGCCTGTCCTAGGCAGGGATGGACCCTGCTGGAGGGAGCCTGCAGGCAGCTCAGCCAAGCCCCCCGCCCCACAGGAGCAGGGGAGAAAGACCCTGGAGGAAAGGCAGGCCACCCCAGCCCCGCCCCCCAGGTCTGAGACCACCCACAGGCTGGAGTGGAAAAGCTTCCCCAGCAGGTGGGTCCCTGGTCTCCAGAGGCCCTCTCGACCGACTCTAACTGCGAGGTCTGCTGGGGTACCCCACCCAGCACCTGCCTGGGGCAGAGGTGGGCCTCAGGCTGCCCCAGGTGCAGCATCCCTCCTCCAGGCAGGATGGTCCAGTCACTGCTGCAGCCTGGGTGTGTGAAGGGGTTCCAAGTGGAAGTTGACACTCCAGGTCCTGGCGGTGGGCCCAGCCACACCCAGCCCCAGCAGCCCGGCAGGTACCTCTGCCCAGGTCTGCATTGGCAAATCATTAACCATGGGGCGGTGCGGCTGCACGGCCAGCCTGTGGGAGCACTTCCGGGAAACCCCAGAGTAGTGTGGGGACGCCTGACAGAGGCAGGCCAGGCCTGCTGTAAAACACCGGCTCCCCTGTGGCCATCCTCCCCAGCAAAGGCCTCAACCACCCTGTGGCCTCTTGCCCTCCTGCAGGACCTGAAAGCCTTGGGGGGATCCGGCCAAGGGGGGTTTCCCACCTCTCCCTGGCTCAGAAGAAACAGAAGGAGGCCACGGTTGCTGGGAGCACAGCGCCGGTCAGGCGGTGCTGCGGGTCGTGTTACTTCAGAGACCGCGAACGTGCCACAACAATCCCACAGGTGCCGCGGAGGACCCCTGTGCAGCCACTGGGGGCGGCGCCGAGTGAGCGTCGCAGCCAGGTCCGGCACTCAGCGCCCAACAGTGTTTGTCTTGGCACCGGCCCAGGGTGCAGTGGCCGGGGCGCGCCGGCCAGAGGCCCAGAGTTCTCTCACCCTGGCGCCGCTGCCCTCCCCGTCTCAGAAGATCGCCCCTCTGTCCATCTGTGCAGCTGGTCATCAGTAGGCCACAGGCGTGGTTCTGGTTCCAGAGCGCCCCGTCTGCTGAGCCTGGCTGCTGGGTAGGCGCAGGCCCAGGACCCGTCCGGAGTCAGCGGCCTACTCCAGCACCACCGTGCCGCCTACGGCCTCCAGCGCCGCCTTGATCTTCTCCGCCTCAGCCTTGGCCACATTGGCCTTGATTTCCTGGGGCAGGGACTCCACCAGCTTCTTCGCCTGCAAAGAAGAGTCAGGAGTGGGCCTGGGCGCCTGGGCAACCTGTGCCGGGTGGCCTCAGACGCAGCCTCACCTGGACCAGGTTTATGCCCTGGATGTAGTTCTTGATCTCCTTGATCAGCTTCACCTTGTCCACGGGCTTGGCCTCAGTCAGGCGCACGGTGAAGTGCGTGCGCTCCTTCTGTCTGGGGACGTCCTCCTCTTCTGCCGCCTTGGGAGAGTGAAGGGAGCACAGGTGAGGGACGACCACGTGACCTAGGCCCAACCGCCCCTCCTGTAACTCCAAAGGCCCAGGCAAGGTGGAGGCCAGCGATCTTGAGATTCCAGCAGGGGCCAGCCCACACCAGCCTGGTTGGAGAGGGCGCCAGTCCTGGCTCTGCCACCCAGAGGACCTGCCCTCTCCAGGGGCTGCACTGGAATGACCCCCCTCAACAGGCGCAGGGGGTGAGGGTGGGGCCTGCCACAAGAAGCTGTGTTTTCTGTCCTCAGTCTTCAGCCAGCACAGCCTGCTGACCCTCCACCTTCACCAAGCACCCGACAATGGGGTGACAGAGTACCACAGGCCCGCTGTCGCCCGTGATGGAGACCACAGCCCAGCTGTGAGCAGTGGCCAGGATGCCTGGGGCAGGCCAGGTGTGGCTCTGCTATCTGGACGTAAACACCCCCCTTATCAAAAAACCTGGCGGGTGAATCCCTGTGACGTGCTGTGCCCAACGATCAGGTGAGCCCGCTCAGCCACCGCAACTGCCTTCCTGCTCACGGCTGGGGTGCAGCAAAGCCCGTGAACACTAGGCTCTCCAGAGCCCGGAACACGGGGTGGCCCAGGGCATGGGGATGAGGCCAGGATCCAGATTACTGAAAGGGCTGGGCTAGAAAACCCCTCTCCACTCAGTCTGGACGCTCCCTGGCCACCACACCCCTGTCCCCCAAGGCCTCTTCCTGGCTTCTTCCCCGGGCGCCTGTGCCGCCCTGCAGTGCACCAGCCTTTTTCTCCTCCTTGCCAAGCCCATGTATCCCGTTGGAAACACCATCTCCCGTGGCGGGGAGACGCACCCTGTGCCCTGACTGAGGCAGGGCTGAGTGCGGCCGTCAATACGGCACCGCCTTTAGCCCTTGGCCGGGGCTCACCTCGGCAGGCGCTGCCGCTGCAGGGACAGCACCAGGCAGCATGCCCCCCATTGGCACCAGCCCAGCATCCTGGATCTTCAGCGTTTTCTGCAAAAACAACAGAACGGCTTCAGCAGGCCAGAAGCGCGCTTTGGGAACTTACCAAATGCCCGACAGCGGGAAGGGGACGCCGCCGCGCTACCTTCAGGAGCTCGTTGAGGTCCGAGATCTCCAGCAGCGTGAGGCTGGCGATGTCCTGGACCAGCTGCTGGATCTTGGGGGGATACTCCTTGGGGGCGTTATCCAGGGGCGCGCCGGCCAGGGCCTCGCCCCTGCGGGGGCTGCCGCACCTCACCAGCCGCACGGCGCAGACACGCGGCACCTGTCGCCTGCCCGGTGCAAACAGAGCCGTCAGCGCGGCGCAGGCGGGCGGCAACAGGCCGGCGGGCCCGGGACCCCACGCGGGGTTCCCAGGCGGGAGGAGCCTCGGGGGGTGCCCCAGGCGCGTCGCGTTCCTCGAGGGCCTCGGGGCCGTGGGCAGCCGCCCGCCTCCACGCCGAGCCCCCGTCCGGGGGCCCCGGGCCGGGCCGGCGCGCAGCGCACCCCAGGACGCAGCTCGCCGCCCCCCGCGCCCCTGGCGGCCCCGCGCCGAGACGCCGGCGGGAGCGGCCAAGGTCACCGGGCCCCGTGCGCCCGCGCCCGCCGCCCGCGCGGCCCTTCCGCGCCGCCGCCGGCCCCGCGTCCCCGCGCGAGCGCGCCCCCGCCCGCCCGCCCGCCGGCCCCGACCTGGCCAGGAGGAGCGCGGCGCCCCGCAGCCCCAGACGGGGCGCCCACAGGGGGCGAGCGGCCGCCGGCAGCATCGGTCCGCGGGCGGGAAGGTCACACGAGGCTCCGGGCCGGGAGGACGCTCTAGCCGCCTAGGCCGCCGGGCCCACGAGCCGGAGGACGCTCTAGCCGCGCAGCCGCCGCGCAGACGAGCCGGAGGACGCTCTAGCCGCCGCGCAGACGAGTCGGGAGGACGCTCTAGCCGCCGCGCAGACGAGTCGGGAGGACGCTCTAGCCGCCGCGCAGACGAGTCGGGAGGGCGCTCTAGCCGCCGAGGTCGCCCGGCAACGGCGCTCGGGAGGGCGCTCTAGCCTTGTCTCACCTCGCCTCCTCCTGCGCCCAGAGGCGCCCCATTGGCCGCGCAGGCGCAGAGCTTCGGGGGCGAGCCTCGGCCGGAGGGGGCGCGTCTTGGCCCCGAGCGTCTTGGTCCAGGCGCGCCGCAGCTGTAGCGGCTAGTACGAGCTGGGCGGCCCCGCCCGGCCCCGGCCCCCCTTCGCGCGGACACTCGGATGCTTATTGAAAGGCATTTTATTGTCAGGTTCCATTCCTTCTACGGGGAGCTGGGTGCGAGGACAACGCGGGAGCAGACACGCTGGAGACAGCCCCGCTGGGAGGCCGGGACCCCCACCCACGGATAGGGGGGCGCTGGCCCGACCACCAGCCCCGCAGCCTCGTGGGGGCGCGTGGCTAGGCCTGACGCCCGGGCTTGGGCCCCCTGGTCCAGGAGGCCCGTCCCTCCCGGGGTCCTCCCTGAGGCCCAGCCCTGGGGAAGGAAGGCAGAACTCGGACACAGGCAGGGAGACGGGGGGCCAGGACGGCCGGCAGCGGGGGCAGCACAGCAGGCGGGGGCAGGGCAGGGCTGGTTAGGGGCGGTAGTGTTACTGAGGCCGAGGTCCCTGGAGGTCAGTCGAAGGAGATGAGCTGGGCTTCGCTGCCCTGCACTGGGGGTCCCTGTGCCGGTGGCTGCTGGGCAACCGGGGGCTGCTGCTGGGGAGGACCACCCGGGGGGGCCATCTGGGGAGAGAGGGGCCATCAGTCCCCCCACCCTTGGACACCTCTCCTCCAGAGCATGCGCCACGGCCTTCCTCACAGCCGTCTGGCATGCTGCAGCCCGGGAGCCCTGAGTATATACAGCTGTGCTGCCCGCCAGGGCTCTAACTGGACGCGGCTTTGACGCCATCAGTGCTCGCACAGTGGGTGTGTGCGCAGAGCACACCCGGACCGCCTGCTGGTGAAGGACCCCCCCCCCCCCGGAGTCGCAGCTCAGGAGTAGCAGCCCCAGAGGCCCACCTGTTGGTACATGGGCTGCTGCCCCGAGATGTAGGGCTGCTGCGGGGGTGCTAGGGGCGCGTCCTGGCTGGGAAGGGTGGTCATGAGATTCTGTAGATACAATAAGCGTAATCAGGAGATGCTGTGACCAGCCAGAGGAGATACTTCTGACTTGGAAAAAGCAAACCCACCGAAGAGAGCCCTGGGGGCAGAGGGTGGGGGGCCGGCACCCAGGGGGCCCTCCCCAAGGGACCCTGCCAAGGTTCCTCACCTGCATGCTGTAAGGCTGGTAGCCCATGGAGACCGACTGGCTGCCCATATAGGCCGTGGCGCCAGGCTGTGGGGGCTGGGGCACGGCGGGGAGGCTCTGCGGGGCCTGTGAGGCCACACCCTGCGGAGCAGGAGCCTGTGAAGGGCTGGCAGGGACTGGACTGTGGTCCAGGACAGGGGCATCCTCCCCACCACCTACCTGGTAGCCCTGCGTGGGAGTGGGCTGGTAGGACGAGTAGGCTGGGCTGGCCGTGGGCCCGGCTGGTCCCTGGGGCGTGGACTGGGCGCCCGCGGGCCCTGCTGGATACATGTAGGTGCCTACGATGCCGGGGTCTGTGGGGACAGAGGAAGGGGCTCGCGCCTGTGAGGGGCTGGCAAGGAGGTGGCGTCCATTCCCCGAGTGTGTTCGTGTCTCATGGTGTCACAGAAGGAAAACATGAAGCCGAAGAGGAGACCGAGGGCCTCCCCAATGGCGCAGCGGTTGAGCGCTGGGTTGCGAAGCTGCCCGCAGCCTCTGCAGCGCCAGATCGATCCCCGGCTGCTCCCCGGCCACCGGAGGAGGGTCCCACATGGCGTGCAGACCTCTCCTGCCGCCCGCTGCTCCCCTCAGCAGTGTACTTAGGTCCTTCTGCCTGTTCTGCTCCCCACTCTGGCTCTGGTGAATTCTCTCGCCCTCCCACGCTTCTGACTGTACCCAGTGCTTGTATAAATAAATAAATAAAATTAAAATAAAAAAAAAAAAAAAAAAAAAAAGAGGAGACCGAGGAGCGTGAAACCGGGTGAAGTCAGAGAAAGGGCTCCAACGGCTCCCCAGGCGGGGGGTACGGAGCCAAAAGCAGCAACCCCAAACCCAGGATCTGCTCTCAGGCTGGAGACTCGGGGTACAAGTGGGATGGTACCCCGAATGGCCTCCCTGGGGCTGCAGGAGGGACGGGGAACAGGGCAGCAGAGTGCACCATCCCAGCCCAGTGTGGCGCCACGTGCGCCTGTGCAGACACCGGAGCTCACCCAGGCCCGAGCCCACTCGCCACACGCCGCCGTCCAGCAGAGGCAGGGCGGGCCCTGGGACCACGGCAGGGCAGGGCTGCAGGTGATCGCCTCCACCTGGAGACCCACGGGACCAGTGCGTGTCCTGGAGAGGGGCCCTGGGCCACCTGGGGCAGTTGGCACCAGACTAAGAGTGGGTCTCGAGTGAGAGGTTCTCCATGGCTCTAGGTGCCATGGAACAGGGGAGACCGCCAGAACGAGGGGCACGGGACATCCCAGCAGTGTCAGGCCACGCTAAGCAGAAAACGCTGAGACACGCTGGTGGCTAAAAGTGGGGAACATGTTTGCCTGGGGGTATCCCACGGGGCACCTGGACATGTAGGGGAGACGCAGCCACCCCACAGCGAGAGCTGGTGGCCAGAGTGGACGGCCACGGTGGCGAGGGGACTGGACCTCCCTGGGATCCCGTGGGGCTCTGGCCATGGTGCAGCCCTGGCGCGTCGGCTGTCAGCCCAAGCGGAGTTTCCTGCGAGACAGGCTGCGCCCAGAGCCCGCCGTGGTGAGCACGGGAGGCAGGGACATTCCAGGCTCGAGGGAACAAGTGGCAGGACAGCAGGGCTGCCTGTCCTGGCTTGGGGCAAGGCGGGCCGAGCCTCCGGGGGAAGGCAACTGCCGCTGCAGAGCGCGTACACGGAGAGCGGCTCCACCCGCCAACCCCACTGCGAGCTCCAGGGGAGGTGCGGGCCGGGCCTGGGGCCGTTACCTGCTCCGGTGCCAGGCATGCTGGGGTAGGGACCGCCGGCGGCCGGGGCGGGCTGGCTCATGTACATGGTGTGCATGGGGGAGCCCTCCACCGAGCTGGCGGGGCTGAAGGTGCCCGGGAAGCTGGCCGGGCCCGAGGGCTGGTAGAGCACGCCGCCTGCCGCGGGCATGGCCTGCAGCTGAGAACAGGAAGGGCGGTCAGCGGGGCCCGGTGGGCGGGCGGGCGGGCAGGGGGCGCGGGCGCTTGCCTGGGCGTAGGGCAGGGCAAAGGCAGGCATCTGGGCGCGCATCTGGATGGTCTGCTTCTGCTGCTCCAGGCGCATCTGCCGCTCCTTCTCCTGCTCCTGCAGGCGCTGGATGGCCAGCTGCCGCTGCACCTCCAGGTACTCCTGTGGGCCAGGCCCGGTCAGCGGCCTGCGCCCATGCCCCCCACTGTGCCCCCACTGGCCCCTGCAGCACCTGCTTCTTCTGCCGCATGATCTCTAGCTTCTGAGCCAGCTGGATCTGGCGCTGGCGCTCAGCCTCCTCGGCTGCACGGCGCAGCTTCTCCCGGTGCTCCTCCCGCAGGGCACTCAGCGCCCCCCGGGCATCGCGGATCTGCGCCAGCTTGTCCTGCAGCCCCTCATAGTACACTGTGGGAGGGGACATGGGCTGGGCAGATGGACCGGCGAACGGTCAGGCCCAGCCAGGGCTGCCCCGCAGGGGCCGGCAGGGGCTAGTCCCCTCGCACAGGCGTCCCGGGTGCGACAGTGCACGTCCCGGGACCCCCGCCCTTGGGCCCCCCAGCCTCAGGGAGGGGCTCGCCAGAGAACCCACATGCGCCCAGGGCCCTGGCGCTGGAGCGCGCGGGCGGGGGGCACCTACGCCTGCGCTCGTCCAGTTGGTTGAGCAGCTCCAGCAGCCGCGGGTGCATGCCGTTGATGGACTGGAACAGCGAGAGCACGGCCGAGTCGTTGGTGATGCTGCGGCCGCGCACGTGGTTGCTGCGCACGCGGTTGACGAAGGTGGTGACGGCGTTCTGCAGCGCCCGCAGGAAGCGCGCGTGGCTCTCCTCCGACTCCCCGTTCTGGGGGGGGCGGCACAGGGTCACGCACCCTGAGTGGCCGCCGCCCCCTGCCCCCCAACCCGGCACCCGGCCCCGCCTACCGGCACTCCCCAGCAGTGACCCGGGCCTGCCTCCCCTGCAGAGTCAAGGAGGCCAGAATGGCCCGGCACCCACTGTGGGGTTCCCCGCTGCCCTCTCCTTCCAGGGCAGGCAGCCAGAGCCTGTGCCCGGGGTCACGACCCACCAGGGAGGGGCAGCGTTCAGGCAGCGGGCACCCAGGGGGCACGGCTCACCTCACCAAAGGGGCCGCTGGGAGGGGCCATGGGCTGCGCGTCCGTCTCCGGGAGGGGCGTCTGCGAGAAACCAAGGGTGGGTGGGCGGGCCCAGGCTGCGGGAGGGGGCGCGGGCCAGGAGTGCCCGGCGGCCCTCACCTCTAGCACGGTGGCCGGGGCGGCATGTCCTTCCCCGGGCTGGGCGGGGGGCTCTGCCAGGGGTGCGGGCGCGGATGGCGTGGGGCTCCTGCGGGCCTCCTCCTGCTTCTTCTCCCAGTAGTTGCGGTTCAGGTACCGTGCGAGCTGCAGGGAAGAGGGTGTCACTTCTGCCACCGGGTGTGGCAGGGGCCCCACCGTGGGGTGTGCTCACCTCAGGGTCGATGTCCTCAGCCAAAGGCGCTGATGAGTTCTGGGGAGACAGGCCAAGGGATCAGGCCACTCGGCACTCCTTGGAGCCACAGCGCACTGTGGACGGCAGGCCCAGAAGCTGGCCCGGGGCCCAGGGCTGTGACAAGGCTGGGGGCTCCCCAACTTGGAAGGTGGCAGCGGGGGGCTGTGGCACCCGCAAAGACGGCTGGCAGGGGCTGGGGCAGAGGAGTGAGGCCACCCCCCAAGTCTCACCACGGGCGAGGAGTAGAGGCTGCTGGCGGGGGGTGCTGACGAGGCTGCAGGTGTGGGCTCTGCCTTCGGGTACGTGGCATACGCTGACTTCTGTCTCTGCAGGGACCGTGCGGGAGGCACTCAAACAGGTGTGGGCGCCAGGGCCTCGGCCTGCCCCAGCCTGGGTGCCGCTCCTGCCCTGGATGCTCACCAGCCTCTCCTTCTCCTCGGCCTCGGATTGTGACAGGGCCAGTGCCAGCTGCAGCTCCTCTTCCTCCTGCAGGGCCGTCTCGTCCCTCTTGGGGGGTAGCTGGGGGGACAGGGTGGTGAGCGGGGCCCAGGAAGTGGGACGGGGCTGGGTGGAGGGACCCCTGAGAGGCACCTGGCTGCAGCCACTACCTGGGACTGCTGAGACAGAGGGCTGGTCAGGTACTCCGGGGGCAGCTCGGTGGTCGAGGCGGCCTTCCCTTCTGCTTTCCTGGAAAAAACAGGAGCTGTGGCTGACCTTGCCACCACCATCCCCACAGACCAAGGCAGGACCTTGAGTCCTGCTGGAGAAAAGAACTCTGGACCTTCAGGCCAGCTCTGGGCCTCCAGTCCACAGGGCCCAGTGAGTCACGGGCTCAAGCCACGGCCTGTCCTGGAGCTGAAGCTGAGCTTCAGCTTCCAAGGGTCAGAGACGTGGGGAGGTGTCAGCCGGGGCTCCAGACAGGCTACCCAAGAGGACACACCCCACTCCCGAGAGCCCATGTGGGTGCAGAGCTCAGCCCTGACCACCAGCGAAGCCCCGGCAGCCCCAAGCTGAGGGGCAAGCAGTCCGGCCTGCAGCTCGGCAGGGACCTCCTTGTCACTCAAGACCACAACTTGATTGCAGCTGTGGGCAAAGTGTCGGGGGCCGGAGCCCTGAGGGGCTGGACTGCACTGGGCGTCACTGGGACCACTGGGACCGGGGCAGGCGCTGCGGGGTGAATGCCAGCACCACCAAGGTGGGGGCTCCTGTGGAGCACCGTGATGGGAGCACGGGGGACAGGGCCAGGCTCTTGGGAAACGCAGGCACAGGGAGGGAGGCCCGCCGCTCACTCGCCCTCCGTGCCGAGCAGCATGCGGGCCCCGGTCAGGCCAGGCCAGCCACGCTGTAGGCCAAAACAGTTGAGGGCCGGGCAAGGGTGCGCCCGAGGCCTCGCACCTCTCCCGGCCCCGCCCCCACCTCACTTCCACACACACACACGGGCGAGCGGGCACACCGGCCAGCGCCACCGTGGCTCACCTGTTCAGCTGCTCGTAGCAGGGCTCGCACACGCGAACCTCCTTCTCGATGCCAAACTTGGGGATGGTGGAGCACTTAGAGGAGCACTTCCCGCAGAAGATCTGCCCACAGGCCCGGCAGTGGTGCTGTGACGGGGGAGGGTCAGGGCGGCCTGGCAAGGGCCCCCAGCCCGGGACGCCCCCAGCCCGGACGCCCCCAGCCCGGCACCACCCCGCCAGAAGGGGCCGGGCCGGGCGGCCGGGGCCTGGAAGACGGAGGCCCTGGGAAGCTGCACGCTCCCAAGGGTGACTGCAGCCGCCACGGCGGGGCGCCCCGCAGGAAAGGGGCTCATGGCTGCCGGGCAAGGGCTGTGCTGACGGGGCTTGTGCCGGCCGGCGCGGGTGAGCCGGCTGCCGGTCTGGGCCCCGGCCCCTCCCCAGCCAGCCTGTGCTCCACAGAAGGGGCCGGAGGTTCCGCTAGACGGGCGGCCAGTTCTCGACACGGCACAGGGGCCGCAAGCCGCGGAGACCCGAGCCCAGCCTGGGTGTCCCTGTGCCCCAAAGGAGCGCGGTGCCGCCCGAGCCCGGCTGACAGCACCACCAGAAACCGCCCCATGGGACCACGCCTGCGGCCCCTTGGGGCCAGGCTGGGGGAGGGCCCCGCAAGCAGCCCGCGTGGGAAGGAAAAGGGCCGGGCCTGGCGCCGGCGGCTACAGGGTTCGGAACGGCTCACCTTGCGCGTCACCACCCCGAACTGCACCCTGCAGCGGTGGCACTCCTCAGCGTCCACCCAGTCGGGGGCCTGCGGGGGGGCAGAGTCAGGGCCCACACCCCACCCCACGAGGAGCCCCGGCGCCAGTCTCCGCCTCGCAAGAAGGGAAGCCACGGCCGGACCCCTCTCCTCTTAGTTTCGGGAGCACGGAGCTGGCACGACACGCAGAAGCTCCGACTCAGCCTGCAGAGACGCGGCAGCAGCTGGACGGAGCCTCCGCAGACGCGACAGCCGGCCCCCCGCGTGCACTCACCCTCTCCGCGGCGAACATGGCGTCGCTCTCCTTGAACTCCGGGAAGACGTGTCCTGGGGGAGGAATCGCTGCCTAGTGCGCGACCTCGGCTGCCTCAATTGGTCAACCCTGACGCAGGGGCCCTCCTGGCCCTGGCGTCTGCCCCCGCCCCAGACAGACCTACACAGGAAGCCCGCAGTGCCGGCAGGTCCTGCCGCCGAGGCCCGGGCCTGATCTCCAGCCCCCGGCCTTCCTGGCGCTAAGCGCCAGGCACAACCCGGGACCAGGTACAAGCCTGCCAGGCCTGGCCCCACAACCGGCGAGGACGACGCCAGCTCAGATCCACCCAAGCCCCGGCCACTCTGCTGCACCCCACCCACCCCCAGAGCCAGTCTGCCCGCCAGGCCTCGGGGTGCAGCCCGGTCCCCCGCCGGCGCCTCATGAGCACCAGCCTCCCGCACAGGTGGTGGGCGGGCCGGGGCCCAGCGCTAGGTTCTCCCCCTTCTGGGGCCCACTGCTCTTGGCAGCCCTCTGCTAGCCTCGCAGCGGCGGCTGTCCACTGCCCCAGCCTCGGGGGGTGCGGTTGGCAGATACAGGGGTGAGGACCGGCGTCAGTGGGGCAGCAACAACAGCGAAGTGCCCGCCCTTGGGAGGCCGCGAGGTTGCTGGCCTGTGCGGAGCCCAGGCTGGCCCTGGTGACCACGCGCCGCCCCAGCTCACCTTCTACCTTCATGATCTGGTAGGTGTCCTGGACCACCTTGTACCTGGGCTCGTTTCGGAAAGCGTGTGCCCAGGCCTGGATCAGGTACAGGACCTTGTTGCGCACGCTCACCTCCACCTGCCGCTGCAGAAGGGGGCGGGTGAGCGGGCGGGGTGGCCAGGTGCCGAGGAGGGAGGGAGGGGGCGAGGGGCTGGGGTGGGTGTGAGGCTGAGGCTCAGCGTGAGGAGGCCGGGCAGGCCCCACTACCCACGCATGTGGCTGACACGGGCCTGGAGGGTCCCTGGGGTCCCCTGAAGCCCCGTGCCTACCTCCTCACTCCACCACAGGGGAAGCCAAAGGTCCCCAAGGCCACAGCCACCCAGGAGTCCCTGTCTGTGCCAATCTGTTGCTCCCACATGCACAGCACCCCACCCAGCCACCACCTCCTCTGTCCCCGGTGAACCGGACCTCCAATAAACAGAGTCAAGCCGGCCGGGGAGCCACGGGCCCTCAGTCACAACCACCTCCCAGACACAGCCACGGCTCCCCAGGCCACGGGGCAGCCACACCAGATCTCCCGGGATGGCAGGCGGCTGCCCGGCCCCTGGGGTAGCCGCGGCGTGGTACGTGGCGAGGTTCACACACAGCACCCTGACAACGGTGCCCAACTGGCCACTCTGGGCAGGCCACTGCAGGTCAAGCAAGCAGCCTCAGCTCTGTGGGCTGATGTCAGGCGCAGGGGCCACCCACATGCCCTTCCACACAGGGCACCCGGGCCCTGCCCCCATGGCGGGCAGCAGACCCCACAAGAAGTCATGACAAGGCCGCAGGGTGTTGCCCCGTCTGCCCACCTTCAGCAGCTCTTTCAGCTCCTCCATGGTCTGCTTGTTGGCCACCTCGTCGTGCACCGTCTGCCCGCAGTTCTTCACCACTGACTCCATGACCTGTGCGTTGCCGGGAGGGAAGGACACCACTGAGCAGGGCAGGGCACCCGGATTGGCCCACCCAAGGCCCCCCGCAGGCCCTCAGGCACCCCGCCAGCCGGCTCCTCCCGCTCCACGGCACAGACACGATGCCAAGTCTGCCAGCTCGGGGCAGCCTACGGTGGGGCCCGGAGAACAGGTCTACCTCACTCTAGCACAGGGCGCTGCCTAGGGTCAGCTCGGCTCTGCCGCCTGGCCTGAGCCAGGACCCGAGACCCAGCGCGCAGAAGTCCAGTTACCTCCAAGGCGTACAAGGCCACGTGGGGGTTCTTGTCGTTGACCTTCTTCTTGATGGAGCTCACGGCATATTTCGCCCTTAGAGAGAAATGTGTCGGCAAGACCAAACAGCAGCGAGGGGACCAGTCCTGGCCCGCAAGGCGAGGAGAGCGGGAAAGAGAGCCCCCATTTGCCCCCGGATCTCAGCGCCCGAGTGGAGGGCTCCCGCACGGCAAGAGCTACTCACTGCGTGTCCCCCTGGCGGATGAGGTCGCAGATCTGGAGGATGGACTCCCAGTCGGTCTCCAGCAGGAGCTGGCTGGTCGCTTTGTCTGAGGCAGAAAAGCAGGGTCAGGGAGGACCCCGCCCGCCTGGAACTCCTCGGAAGGCAAGTGGGGGCCGAGAGAACATCCCAAAGGAGAGGCAGATGCAGGACAATGGCACGGGGTTCATCCTGTCCTGGGGTTCAGCTCTCAGTGGCCTCACGAGCCGGCACTATTTTCATGCTCTCCTGGGTCAGGGAACCCAGGTAGTGAGGGGCCCCAAGTCCTGCAACTCGCTGGGGATGGAGCTGGGTCAACGCCAAGCTGGGCTGCCTCTCAACAGTGTGCTGGGCCTGGGCCCTGCCATCCCCGCACAGGTCAGCTGGGGCTGGAGTGGTCGGCGTGGACGCGGGCCTCTACTCCCAGTAGTCGGGGGGCAAAGGCGGGGTGGTCCTAGGATTCTGCACCTACCCCACGCCTCACGCAGACTGCTGCACTGAGGGTGCCCCCAGCCTGCGCCGCAGCCCGCCCTGCAGGGAGCTGAGCCCTCAGGCCCGCCAGATCGGCCCGTCGGGGTGACTCTTCACTGACCTCTCGGCGCGAGGCACCCCCCGGCCCGCGGGCGCCGCGAGAAAGGAGGGCCCGTCTGCCGGGACAGGGCGGGCCGGCCGGCAGGGAGAGCACCCCGAGGCTGCCCGGGGCGGCGCGGTCCCCGCGGGCGTCTGGGGGCGCGGCGGAGAGCCAGGAGACGCCCCCCTCCCCCGACGCCGGCGCTCGCGGGGCCCCGGGCACAGCGGGTCGGCTCGAGTCCCCAGAACGCCTGGGGGGCTCGGCGGGCCCAGGGGGGCCGCCCCGCCCCAAACGGGGCCGACGTTTGGGGAGACGCCGCAGACCCCGCCCGAGCCTCGGGTCGCGGGGTCCGGCTGAGGTGTTGACATTTGACTGAGTCACGATCCCCGTGACTCAGGCCGCGGGTTTCCCGGGGCCGCTGGGGCGGCGCGGCCGGGGCCCCTCCCGGCTGTCCCCGCGGCCCCCGCGGCCGGGGGGCCCCAAGCGCGGGGCTGGGTCGCGCGCGGGCTCCCACCGCGCTCCCCGCGGGGCCGGGGGCGGGGGCCGCGGCGCGCACCTCGGCCGGGCGGGCCGGGCCGCGCGCGGCGGCGGGGGGCCGCGTTACCTAGCAGACGCTCGAAGGTGCCGCTCCCGCGCCCCATGGCGCCCCCAGACCCGCTCCGAGGCCGCCGCGGTCCTGCTGCGAGCCGCGCGCCCCCGGCTTCCGCTTCCGTCTTCCCGGGCGCGCACGCGCACGTCGGCCCGGCCCGAGCGCGGGGGGGGCGGGCGCGACGTCGGGCGCCGGCCGGGCCGCGCGGGGAGACGGATGGGCCCCGCAGCCAGTGGGCGGCCGCGCCGCGAGGCGCACCCAATGAGGGCGCGGCGGGGGCGCGGGGGGGCGGGCTTTGCGGCGTCGCGGCGACGAGCTCCGGAGGCGGCTGGCGCGGGGCCGGGATGTGTCTCCTGCTGGGGGCCGCGGGCGTGGGGAAGACGCTGCTGCTGAAGCGCCTGCGGACTATCCTGCGGCCGGGCCGGGCGGGGCGGGGGCGCCGGGGCCGGGGGCGGGGGCCCGGGGCGGGGGGTCGCGGGGGGCGGCGGGGCCCGGGGCTCGGGGTCGCGGGGGGCGGCGGGGCGGGAGGCCCGGGGCGCGCGGGTCCCCTCCGCCGGCCGCGCCCTCCGCCGCTGGGTCCTTGACTGCCGCGCACAGCTGAGCTCCCCGGACGGGCAGGGCGACCTGGGCGACCCGCCCCCGACGCGGCCCACGGTAGGCGCCGCGCCCCGCGGGTGGGGAACGGCCGCTGCGCTGCGCGGGGCGCCGCCGCCCCTCCGCCCCCGGTGGCCGCGTCCGCGGGAGCTGAGCGGGCGCGGGCGGAGCCTGGCCCCCGGGGCGGCCGCGCCGAGCACCGCAGAGGGGCCTGTTGGGCTCCGGGGCCGGCCCCTGTCTCCACCCGAGACGCCCCCCGCACGCCGGCGCTCGCGGGCCCGGCACAGCGGGTCGGCTCGAGTCCCCGGGGCGCTGTGGGAGGCTCGGCGGGCCCCCTCTCTGCGGGGAAGCGCCTGTGATCTCCCCGCGCGCCTTCCCGCAGGTGGGCACCGACCTCACCGACATCGCGGCCCCGAGGAAGATCACCGTCCGGGAGCTGGGGGGCTGCATGGGCCCCATCTGGCCCAGTTACTATGGCAACTGCCACCGTCTCCTGGTAGGTCGTGCTCCTTTGTGCTCTCTTTGGAGAAGCACCTGCCTGTTTCTGCTTTGCTTGTCCCCCACCTCTCTGCATGCTCGTCTGCGGGGTTCAGAGGTGTCCATGCCAGGGAACAGGGCCTCCGCTGGGCTGGCCTCCTTCCCAGAGCCCAGCTGACCAGAGGCTGGGACCCGCGGCTGGCAGGGTGCGCCCTCAGGCACAGGGGCGATTCTCTGCCGCACTCACACTCTGCACCCCTGGGGCTTCCCCGCCTTGGCAAGATCTACACCTACCCGGTCTTTGAAAACCTAAACTCAGCAAGTAGAGGTGTGTGGGGGCCAGGACAGCCCAGTGTCCCTCACCCTCTCGCTGCCTGTTCCCAGGCCTCTGTGTAGGCGTCATTTTGCTCCTCTGACCAGTCTGCCGCCTGGAAAGCAATCAGGCGAGAATCTCCTGCCACTGCAGCAGCCCTGACTGCTTTCTCTTCCCCAGTTCATGGTGGACGCGTCGAACCCCGCCCAGCTCTCGGCATCCTGCGCACAGCTTCTGGGCCTCCTCGCCGCGGAGCAGCTTGCAGGCGCTTCAGTACTGATACTCTTCAATAAGACGTGCGGGCTGTCGGCCGGGGGGCAGGGCCGGGGCACAGGGCTGGGGCTTGATGGGAGGTGAGACGGGCTGGGCAGCCTGCTCTAGGGGCCTGTCTTTCGTTGCAGCGACCTGCCCTGTTACATGACCGTCGAGGAGATGAAGTCGCTGCTCCGGCTTCCAGACATCATAGCTCACGCCACGCAGAACATCAGCACAGCGGAAATTAGCGCCCGGGAAGGCACGGGCTTGGCAGGGGTGCTGCGCTGGCTGCAGGGCCCCGGTAGGACCCAGACCTGACTCTGCGGGGGCAGGCCTGGCTGACCTGCTCTGTGGATGGCACTTCCAGCCTCCAGCAGTTCTCACTAGCCCAGAAGGATCTGGTGTGAGCCGTGGAAGCCATGTGTCCGCATTGTTGCCATGAGGGGTGCACTGAGGCGAACAGTGACAAACTGACAGCCGCTGTCGTCCTGGGCTTCGGAGAGGACAGGCCTGCTGGGTGTCCTGCGGCTGCCTGGGTGTACTCCCTTCACCGAGCAACCTGCTCACTGCTCCCCAGGGCCGTGGGCGCACGGCTCCCGGCCCCCGTGACTCCTGCGTGGCTGCAGCCAGCTGCATGTCTGGCACCAATAGCCCAGCCCTGTCGGGCTGAGGAGGGATTGGAGAACCACGCCTGAACTCAGAAGGAAAAGCCTAGAGGGTGTGGGGTTCCTGCGGCAGACAAGGGTGGTCCCAGGGCACAGGAGGGGCTTGCGGCTCCCCCCTTGGGGAGAGCTCTTTCGCGCTCTGCGGCAGCGCCGCTGTCCGCCCAGCTAGTGACACCTTCCCCTGCTGCACGAGAGCAGCCACAGCGGTCACCTGCGGTTGTCTAGGTCCAGGCTTTTATGTGCTGTGCGTTTTCACCTTTGGCAGTAAACAGCAGCTGGTGAGCAGAGCATGTCCCTGAGTCATGACTGCCGGCCAGCAGCGCCCGTGTGCGCCCTGGGTCTGAGTTGGGGGACTGTGGGGACATTGGTGGTTTCTCAGTTGTGCAGGCGACACCTGGGTGCATGTAGGACCCGAAGCTGGGGTGCATCTTGGTGCTGACCCGCCATGGACCTGATGCCCTGACCAGCTTGGGGGGGTGGGGGGGTTAGGGTCTTGCTGAAGCCAGGAATTCTGCTGATGTCTTGCGGGTGGTTTGCCGTGGGGTGGCGGGGGGACTGCCCCATCTTAGTAATTGGCTGAGGGTAGTAATCTTGCTCGCTTTGTGCCTACCGGTGAGCAGGCCTGGGCAGGAGGCTGGAGCTGTCCCAAGCCCTGGGGGTATCCCAAACTCGGGTGGCCTCTGGGTCTTTCATCAAGTCAGAGAGTACAGTGACAAGCTGCAGGCCAGGGCCCTTGCGGCCTTAGTTGTTTCTGGTTGTATGGATCCTGTCACTCACTGAGTTCAAGTCCTGATTTTTCTACCTCTTGGTGTGATCCAGCTGTTTGTACAGCCTGCGTGCTTTGGGGAGCAGAGTGAGTCCCTGCCAGAAGGTACCGCAAGCAGGCATTGTGGGATGGAGGCAGATTTCAGGGGATGCCCGCTGACTCATGGCAGGCCAATGCTGCCTGGACACCACCTGGGGAGCTCTGGGAGGTGTGGGGACTCTAGCCAGGACTCTAACCTGATCGCCCGGCTCAGGTTCCAGGCAGGAAAAGCAAAACAAGCCAGTCCCCAAGGCCAGAGGCCAGCCTTGTCCCTCCAGATGCTGGGCTCAGGGTGTCCTCCAGGCGAGCCTGACTTCTCCTGCAGGGTTGGGTGTCCACTCAAATTTGAGGTCCAGGCATGAGTGCCTCAGTTCGTTTCCTCCCCAGAGCGGGGGGGCTATGCCTGGGTCTGCTGCCACCTCTCCGCCCACCCTGGTGCTGACCTTGGAGGATGAGCCCAGGAGGCAGCGTCTTGGACACCTGCACAGGCTCCCCAGGTCAACAGGGTGGCTCCGGCCCCTGGCCCAGCTCACACTGGCAGCTCTCAAGGGCACGGTACAAGGTTCTGTGGGGCTCAGACAGATCCCAGCAACCAGTACTTGCCCCAGGCTCAGTCCCCTGCAGGGGAGACCCACCCTTACATGCAAGCCTCCCAAGAAAGAGGTGCCCCCTGTGGGTTGGGGTTGCACCCCTCCGGGATCTCTGCTGAAAGTGAATGGTTGAATTCATGGGGGGCAGGAGGTGGGCCCTGCCCAAGCCCTGCCTCTGGGGTGGTTTGTGGGGGTAGGGGGCGTGCAGCCTTGCGCCTGGCGGATGGGCATGGAATGGGGGTATTTGCAGCTTCTCTATCTGCACTCAGGCTGATGTGCCCAGGCCCAGCTCTGCGCTGCAGAAACCTGCCCACTCACAGCTGCTAGGATGGGACCAGCCCCTGCCTGGGCCCTAGTGGCTGCCCCGACCCACTGGCACACCCCCCATTGGTCTAAAAGGGGCCTTTGGGCCTCAGGCTTCGCCAGTCCACTTGGGTGGCCTCTACCAACTCGTCTGCTTCTGGGCTAAACCGCTGCTTCCGTCTTGCTGAGAATCAGGCAGAGATGGAAACAGCCTAGACGACATCCCCCGCCCTGCACCCCAGGTGTGAGGGGGACACGCTAAAGCCCAGCACCAGGCCCCTGCCCTCCCTGCTGTGCACAGTGCCCATCTCTGGTGTCTCTCTCCCTGGCGCCGGGAGGACCCATTCAGGCCGATGTCAGGCCGCCCTCAGCACCAAGGAGGTCACGTGGCAGGTCCCTGGCAAGCGTGGCTGCGCTGTGGCAAGAATGTGTAGTGCTCAGGCCTGCGCCTGCCTGCCTGGTGGCCAACAGGCAGAGTAAGGACGCAGCGTCCATAAGACTTTCTATTTAAACAGTTGCACATAATGTATTTCTTACATTTCAGAAGACGGGGTCTACCCGAGAGAGCAGGGTGTTTGCTTTCCTGGGTGGACACTGAGCTGCAACCGAGACTTTCCAGCCTGAAAACACTTCCCGTGCAGGATGGAAGCCCGGGCAGTGCAGAGCCCCTGCAGAGCTCAGCCCGGCCACTGTGCAGGGCACACTGAGGGCAGCGTCCAGGAGGGCTGCCCTCCTGACTGGACAGGACTGCCTGCTTGGGACCCATGCAGGCACGCGGTTAGTCCGCACACTGTCCCGTAGCCCGCTGTCAGCCCCCGTGTTGGCCTGGGCCAGACTGTCCTTGCCGCCACGCACCAGAAACGTGCTTGAGGCCTGCCCTGCCCCCCCATCCCTATATGTAGGCAGTGGGGTCCCCCTCCTAGGTTCCCTGTGTCATCCCAACTGCTCTATTTAAGGGCCGGGCGACGGGACCAACTCAATCTGCACCTGTGAGATCGAAGGCCAGGCGGGGGGCACACTTCATGAGCCCAACCAGCCCAGCCACAGAGGCTCAGGACAGACGCCGCCCCGCCCGAGACAGGAGTCCCAGCAGACCGGGGCCTCTACCCCACTGAGCGCTGGTGCGAGCTGCGAGGGCCCGAGGGTGCGGGAGGGCTGCCCCTGCTCGCCCTCCCAGAGGGTCTCAGTGTCACAGGAGTGTGCTGGGCATCTTCCCAGCAGGGATGGGCGGTGACTGGGGTGACAGTGTCCTTTGTTGCTGCCGTTGCCGCAGAGCCCGGTAGGCCTGCACGACCCGTGCTCTCTCCTCGCTCACGATGCGCTGCCGGGCCAGCGAGGCGTTCTGAGGTCGGGCTCCACCTCTGGGCCTCAGCAGCCCCCTCAGCAACAGCGACCTGCTGCCAGGCTGAGGGAGGGGCAGAAGCAGGAGCCACAGTTGGAAAGGAGGGAACAGGCCAGGCCAGCCCAGCAGCTGTGGTCCCAGTCCCGGCCCCACTCACCTGGTCCCTGCTCGTGCTGGTCCTGGGTTTGGCAGTCAGCTCTGGGGGCTGCAGAGCAACCTCGCCAAACTGCACTGGGTCTGGAGGAAAGAGAAGCACGGCTGCAGCCAGCACAGCCATCCACCAGGCCCACTGCACCCTGGGGAGACACCAGGACTCGCCCAAGGGCTGCCTCTGAGCAGGCTGACCTGAGCACTCCAAAGTTACCTCGAAGCAGCTCCCGCTCCAGCCTTTCTGCTGCCTTCTCTTCCTTCCGCTGCCGAACCCTGTCCAGTTTACGCTTCTGGAACCTGAGGAAGCCACCATGACTCTGCTCAGATCCTAGACTCCAGGCGGCAGCGGGCGCCCCCACCACGAGGGTTCCCTCGGTAGTGCCCAAGGCCCACCCATGGCACGCAGGTGCTTCTGAACCAGCCAGTGCAGCCATCCTGCCAAAGGCCTGTCTGCCCAGGCACGTGAGCAAGGCCAAGGTGTGCAGCCTCAACTGGGCTGCTCTAAGGCCGACTGGGACCCGGATGGCAGGGGCAGCAGCTGCAGCCTCAGACGGCAGCACAGACAGGCTTTCTGAGGTGTACTCTCTGCGGCTCAGGTGACCGTACGCGGTGGGGGAAGCTCAGGTGTGGGAGGGGAGCTCCCTGGAGCTCGTCAGCCTCCCCCCAGCAGTGCTGATTTGTGGAGGCAGGCAAGCGTCCCAAGCACCCCAAGCGCCATCTTTTACTACATCCCTATGGCAAAGGGCCACGCAGCAGCTGGTGGCCCTTGAAGCTCTTCCCAAGAGAAGCAGAAATACTGAGGGTCCTGTGGCCTTGGAGCCCTTTCAGCCTGAGGGCTGGCAGCTCTGCTGAGAGCAGGGTTGGACTGCCCAGGGCTTGGACTTCTTCCCAAGCTTTCCCTGGATGGGGTGGGGTGACCCCACCACTCTGCCCCCAGCCCACACCGCATCCTATTGGTCCCTGCTCACGCTTTCTTCCGCGTGGATTTCTCCCTGGGAGCCGCTTGGGCCTCTGGCTGCCGCTCGGCTTGGTTCTTGGTGAGAAACAGCACGTGCTGCGTCTCCTGCTCCATGCGGCGGAGATAGGCCCGCTCGGACTCCCACTTCCTCTGCTTGAACTTGGGGACCGCGATGTCTGGCTCTGTTCCCTTGGCCTCCTCCACCGTCTTCCTGAAAGCCACCTGGGCTGAGGCCAAAGAAGAGCTCAGAGAGAGGACATGTGGGAGGGGGAGGCGAGGGACTGGTCGCCTGTGCGCCTCACCGCCCCTCCCAAAGGAAGGGGAGATCAGGCCCATGTGCGGGGCCCCCACCATTCAGCTAAAGAGCATCTAGGGTGCCCAGGCCGCTGGCACCCACCAGGCATGCTCAAGGGCCCAGTGCAAACACCCAAACGCCCACCAGCAGGCGCTGGCTGAGCGCGGTGCTCCCCCAGGACAGGGTCAGGTACTCCAGGTGTCAACAGGTGCAGGGCCTGTCCGCGCCTCCGCCAGAAGAGCGAATTGAGGAGAACCGCAGTCTCTTTCAGGGAAGGAGCGGAATGTAGGGACTGGAAAGGGGTGCGCTTCACCCGCACCTTCCAAAGGTCCCGCAGAGCGGCCGCCTCCCCCGCGCCATCTCGCTGTCCCTGGTAGCCACGCGGCCCCAGCGCAGAGCCTAAGGCCTCCAAAGACGGCGAGAGGCTGGGCTGCAACGCCAGCCCCGTGTGGAGGAGCGAGGACACAGCCACGCAAGTCGGAGCGGGGAGCCCCCCGGAGCCCAGTGGCCGCGGCGGGCCGGCGCCGGGCGTGGGGTCTCACTGCCCCGCGGCTGGAGCCCCGCCCCTCCCTCCAGCCCGGCCGGCCCGCTGCCCGCGAGCTTTCCCGCACGCCCGCTCCGGGGAGCCCGGGCTTCCCGCCACCGGCCCGGCCGCGCGCCCGCTCGTTACCCTCCGCCTTCCTCCTCCTGCTGCTCCGGGGCGTCCTCATCTCCTGGCGGCTCCTCATGATCTCGCGGAGCCGGAAAGGGATCTCCTGCTCGTCCGGGCTCCTGGGCGCGCAGTCCACCCCCTTCGCCCTGCCGGGGAGGCGGGCGCAGGGGTGAGGCGCGGCCGGGGCCTCAGCAGAGCCTCGCGCCGCGGGCGGGCGGGCGGGGCAGGGGTGCGCGTCCGGATGGCGACGCGGCCCCGGGAAGGGCGCCCGGCCCCGCCGACCCTCGCGCGCGCCCCGGCTCCAGGCCGGACCGGAGGGACCCGGGCCCGACCCCAGGGCGGAGACGCACCCGCGCGGCCCGGGCAAGGGCGCCGAGCGGAGCCTCCCCGGCTGCTGCTGCCGCGTCCCCTGCTGCCGCGGCCGCCCCGGCCCCCGCGGCCCCGGCGCGCCCACGGGCGCAGCGGCTCGGCGCGCGGCCCCCGCCATCGCAGCCCGCGCCCCGCGGCAGCCGCTTCCGCCCGCCGAGCCTCCGCCCACCCGCACTTCCGCTTCCTGCGCGCCGCCCGCGCCCCCGGGCTGCGATTGGCCGGCGCGGCCGCCGCTCAGAGGCCGGGGCGGGGCCGCCGCTCAGAGGCCGGGGCGGGGCCGCGCGTGCGCCCTGAGCCGGGCGCGGGATGCTGCTGCGGAGCCTGGCGGCCGGAGGCCGGGCGGCGCGCGCGGCTGCCCGGGGCGCGGCAAGTAGCGGGGGCCGCGCGCTGAGGGCGGGGGGCGGGCCCGGGAGCCCCGGCTTCTCGGGGCGGGGACGGGACGGGGGCGCGGCGGCCCCCGGGCTCACGCGCCTGTCCGCTCCCCAGGGGCCCCGCCGACTCGCCGGCCGCGGGGGGTTCGCGGAGGCCCGCGCGGGGGCCCCGGCAGCTGCGGACGGCGCGCGGCCGCCCGGGGAGCGCCCCTCGGAGCCCGCGTTCCCCCCGCCGCCCGAGCTCCGGCCGCCCACGAACTGCTGCCTGAGCGGCTGCCCCGGCTGCGTGTGGCTGGACTACGCGGAGGCGCTGCTGCGGCACTACCGGGACGGCGGCGCGCGCGCCCTGGCCGCGCTGGACGAGCACGTGGCCGACGAGAACCTCAAGGCCTTCCTCCGGCTGGAGATCCGGCTGCGCTTGAGGAGCGGGGGCTGAGCCCGCCCCGGCCGGGCTGGCGTGTGGCCGCCTGGCCCGAGAATAAAGTCGCTGTGGGCCGAGACCGCCCGCCGCCTGCCCGTGGCGCGCCGTCGAGTCAGCGCCGAGGGGAGAGGCGGGCAGGGCCCCGAGCGCCGCACCCCCCGCGGGCCTGGGAGGGTCCCGGGCCCCCTGCACACCCAGGGAGGCCGTGTGGCCCCCTTAGTTGCTGTGTGGAGGCCCCGGCAGCGTGACGCCCACAGACGGCCTGGGCAGCCGTCCAGCCTGCAGGGACCTGCGCGCCAGCCCTTCCAGCCCACTTGGGCAGCCTTCCGTGCGAGTCTGGCCCTCGGCCCAGGTAGGGCTGTGCTCAGCCTCCCCTCGCGCGGTGGGTCCCTGGTGCCCGCGCCCAGACAGGGTGAGGGACGGCCATCACACTGGTGCTGGTTTCAGCGGCGTCGAACAAGGGGGAAGCAGGCCCAGCCACAAGAGGAGCCTTGAGCTGATCAGGCCCTCCCCACGTCAGACTCTTGGGGAAAGCCAGCGTCTCCCGTGACACCCTGGACAGTGGGCAGCGAGCCTGGCAGGCACAGACACGTCTGGAGGGCCAGCTGACAAGTGGCTCCTCTGCGGAGGAAGGTGGCCCTGCCTAGACCTCCCTGGCCTGACGGTGCCCGTCCAGGTGCAGCCCACAAGTGTGGGAGCAGCCCAGGAAGGGGGAGCTGTGCCCCCGGGTGGTCAACGGCATGGAAGGGGTTTCTCTTAGAAACACGGGGGGGAGGCTTGCCAGGTGTTTCTCCAAGGTGCAAACTCTTAAGGGGTTTGCTGTGTTCACCTGTGCTCTCCCCCACCCCCGCTCTTCACCTGGGATGCCACGCCCTGGCAGAGGCCCCCCAGGGAGTACAGCATGGGTTGGGGCGCCCGCAGCACACCGCTGCTCCTCACTCATTCACCCCCACGTTCTCTAGCGCCTGGGACGCTCCCACCTGGGGCTGGGGCAGTGTGGTGAGTGGCGGATGGGCTCGTGCTGTCCCGCTGAACGGGCCCAGGGAGCGTTACGGCAGGGGCGCCCTGGTCTGGCCTTGGAGACGGCCCTGGGCGGATGGGAGGGGGTGCAGGGCTCAGCACAGCCCAGGGGGGCCAAAAAGTGGCCCCTACACAAGTGGGACCATCTACACAGGGCTTTCGGGGCCCTGGGGCACAGCTAGTGCCAGTCTCACAAAGATGAGCTGCTTCAGGAACATCCTGCCCGCCCCCGCTGCTCGCGAGCACAAGTCCCCTTCCTATCCTGGTCAGACCCCTGCTCTTGAGCGGTCTCCGGCAGCGACAATCGCATTAGCGTGAGGGGGCAGCCCTAATCAGCTTACCCGCCAGGGGATAAAAGCCTGGCCGGGGCCCTGCTGGGGGCTTCCCGTCCACACATCCAGGACCCACCGCTGCACTGGGTGAGTAGTGGCCGCCTACATGTCAGCCAGCTTCTCTCACCTGCCCAGCCCACCTCTGTCAGGCTGCAGCGTGGCCTTCCCGAGACCGTGATGGCCGTGGAGCCTCGGTCCACAGCCCACTGGCTTGAGCAGCGCCAGCCATGGGCCAGGCGGGGGTGGGGGGCAGCTCGGAGCTCCGTGGGCCCGAGTGCACCATCGTGGGCTGGGGAAGGAGTCTGCCTGGGCCTCCAGCGTCTGGGCGACAAGAAGGGCCCACCAGGCCTGGCCCCACCACTCCGGACCCCCTGCAGACCCTCTGCGGGCCTCTCCCACCCTGGCTCTTCCGAGCTGGCGTGGTCCCAGCGAGTCTGAGCCTTGGAGACGGCCCTGGCGGGATCCGGGGCACCGCGGCACCCACCCCCACACCTCCCATCTCAGCTCTGAGCTTTTGTGGCAGCTGCCCGTGGCCTAAGGCTGGAGCCCGTCCACAGTGCCCACCAGACCGCGGCCAGGAAAGGACCTGAGAGGTAGTGCGGGCAGCGGCGCCCTCTGAGTCCTATGCTTAGCCCCAGAACCTTTGGGCTTGCAGCCCCTGAGGGATTAGCCTTCTCCCTCTCGTGTTAAGAGGCTTAAGAGGAAACCCAACTGCTCTCAGCCAAGGTCACGGGGCTTGGGGTGTCCTAGAAGAGGCCCTGGGGTGCGGAGGGGTCGCTCCTGGCTCTGCCCTGCACCCTCCCGCTGTTTGGCTCCTTCGTCAGGAGGGAGGCCGCCTGTCTCTGCCCCCAGGGGTAGGGTGGGGAGCATGCTAGGAGGGCATGTGGGGGGGGGTCGCCCCCAGAGCAGGGCAGGCAGTGCTGGCCACACGCAGGTCAGCTGGCTTCCCCTGCTCTGCTGGGTCGCGACCTGAGGGCTGACTGGGACCCACTGCTCTGCCCCAGCCCCAGCGCGAGGAGCTCAGCAGCCGGCCTGGCCATGAGCCTGGAGCTGCCTAAGGCTGAGGTCCGGTCGGCCACCAAGGTGATCGGAGGGCCTGTCACCCCCAGGAAAGGGCCCCCCAAGTTTAAACAACGACAAGCCAGACAGTTCAAGAGCAAGCCCCCCAAGAAAGGCGTCCAAGGGTAAGCAGAGCTGGGGAACGCCGGTCCTGGCTGCGTGGGGGGAGGTCCCCTTTGTTGTCACTCTCTGCAGCGGTAATGTCATCACTGAACTGGCGCCCACTATACCACAATGCCACACCCAGCCCCTCGGCACACCTCCTGCTCAAGAACCCCCCCAAAAGGGAAGGACTTGTCCTCAGTGCACAGCCCCCCAGTGCTGACCTCCCTGTTCCCACAGGTTTGGGGATGACATCCCTGGGATGGAAGGCCTGGGCACAGGTATGCTGGCTGCTTGGGCTCGACCTTTTCCCCCTCACCCCAGCCTCCCCGTTTCCCAGCCAGGGCTCACCTAGGGGCTGCTCCCCAGCCCACTCCCACTGAAGTGGGGGTGTTTCCCACCTGTGGGTTCACCAGCTCCTCCCTTTGTTTTGATACCCTGAGGCTGGGGGGGCCTGGGGTATGTCCCAGGAGGGGGAGCCCCCGCGGGGTGGACAATGGATCCGGAGGTGGTGGCCCTGGGCTGTGGGGCCCTCCTGGACACACCTGCGCCTTCTGCAGACATCACGGTCATCTGTCCCTGGGAGGCCTTCAGCCACCTGGAGCTGCACGAGCTGGCGCAGTACGGCATCATCTAGCCCAGCCCCACCCACCCTGGGCTCTCGGACCCAGTTACCAGGACTTAGCACCTCCGGCAGGATGTCCTCTGGGGCCAGCAGGGCCCTCCCTGACTGGGGAGACATGCCCAGCTCCCCTCAGGCCTGTCCCGCAGTGGGGAGCTGAGCCCTCACCTCCTGTAGCTGGACAGCTTCTCAGAACTACCCTTCCCTGCGCTTGGCCCGAGGGCCAGCCCCTCCCAGCTGGCACCTGGCAGGTATGGCGGGTGACCGGTCCGGGTGGCGGTGCCCCGGGGATGCCCCTGGGGTCAGTCCTGTGGCAGGAAGCGCATCCCTTCCCTTGAGCCCACGCTCGCTGCCGTCTGCAAATAAAGTTAGCGCGTCCAGCTGGTTCCTGAGTGTGCTGTGGTCTCACCAAAAGTGGTGGCGGGAGGTGCCAGGCAGGGGCCTGGCCAGGCTGAGGGGGACGCTGTAGGGCTTTTGTGCTTCAGTCTCTGGCCACCTCCTTCGGCCTGGCATGTGGGGGGGTGGGACGGGGCGCGGGCATGCGGGAGTGGTCGCAGCTGTGCCCAGAGCTGAGGCTGTAGGGGTGGCTTCCCAGAGGATGGAGCAGCAGAGGCCCGGCTGGCCACAGTGGCTACAAGAGAAAGGAGCATGCGGAGAGTCGCGGCTGCCCCCCGCTGGCCTGTTTGCCCTGCGGACTGTCGGAAAGCCTGTGGGACGATGCCTGGGGCGCCAGGCTTCCCCGCGAAGCTGCCTGAAGCGACGGTGAACCCCCGTACCCCTCAGCTGGGATGGCTGCAGAGATGCCAGGAGCGCTGGCCGCCGGCCATGGGCAAGCTTCAGGCAGGCAGTGGGTGCCTTCCCAGAGGGGCAGCGGCCCACAGTGGAGCCCCCTTCTCCCTCACCCACATGGCGCCTCGTGTCCACACAGACCAGCAGCCCGGACCCAGGCCACCCTGTCTGCCCCTGCGCTGAATCCAGTCCTGTCCAGGGCGCAGGGGCTGTGCTGGGCCGTGGGGCAGTGGGGCGCAGGCGGCTGCCCCTTCTCATAAGGTCCCGGGGAGCAGGCGGTCAGGAGCCCCAGCCTGCTCCAGCAGGACGCTCGGGCAAGCCCTGGGGACTGGCATTGCTAGGAGGAGGGAGCGCTTTATGTGGGGGACCCTGCCCGCCCCCCCCCAGGAATGGCACATTGATCGGTGAAGTTGCAGAGAAGCCCCCGAGCCTGTCCTACTGGGTCCCCTAACGGACAGTCTCAAGGCCAGAACTGCCCACCCCCCACAGGCAGATGTGCGAGGGCCTCTGGCGGCTTTCCCCGGAAGGCCAGTCTGATTTGGGGGTCAGGCTGTGTCCCCAAGTCCAGGCGGGGTTCCCACTCCGCAGTACCAGGAAGAGCCCCTCACTCCACCTGCTGACTCAGGGCAGAGAAAAGGGGGGCTGTCTCAGCCCTCGGGCCCCAGCAAGCCGGCAGGGGCAGCAAGACAGGACTCCAGCTGCGGGGACAGGCGGGCGGATGCTTGTCTTAGGCTCCTCCTGCACCAAGTCAGAGGCCTCCCCAGAGCCAAAGGGGTATCCGGTGGGCCCAGGGGCCGGCCGGGCTGAGCAGTGGGGCAGTGGTGGTGGAGGGAGGGTGGGGCGGACATGGGGGAGCTGATGGCCAAGGCGGCGCTCTCCCTGTGGGGTGCTCTCCTGGGGCTCGGCAGTGCCCCCTTCCCATGGAGCACAAGGCCAGGCCAAGCCCTTTCAGGTTCCTGTAAACGGTGCTGGGTGTGGGAGAGGACCCTGATGAGGACAGCTTCACCTCAGTCTCAGCAGCTCCGTGGGTGCCCGCCCCTGGCCGGCCCGCACACAGCCAGGGGGCTGGACAGGGGAGAAGGGCGAGGCCAGCCAGCCCGGGGGCTGCCACGGTGCTGGTTTACCTGGGGCAGCAGAGGATGACTTTCGCCGGCCCCCTCCCAGCCAGCGCTGGAGCTGGCGGGCGGCTCCGTGAGCTTTGGGGGGGGTGGGGGGGTGGGCAGGACAGGAGCGGGTCATGTGCAGAGTCACATCTCAGGGCCTAGGACGGCCTCGCCCCCCCCCCCGGACTGTGCAGTGAGCCCATGAGGCTGTGTGTGGGCGCCAGTCCCCAGACCCACTTTAGCCCCCCATTTCCTTTCTCACTGCTGGGATGAGACGGTATTCACTGGCCCTGTTGCATCCTCCCGGTTTCGAGGTGCTGGACTCCCCAGGCTCTGAGTTTCTCTTCCAGTGGTGGGACGTCGTGCCCTGGAGCCGGGAAGGGCTGGGTCGGAGGCGGCCCCAGGCCCTCTGGCTGTCATCTGGCCTTCCTCCTGGACGGTCAGGAGCGGGGAGGACGGCTTGCGGCCTCCCATCACTGTCCACCCTGCCATTGCACATTTAGGCCCGGGGTGTCTGTGACCCGGCTCCCAAGGCAGCCCACAGGGCAGGCAGGGCCTCCGCTCGCAAGGGGCGCCCGGTAAATGTGGGTGCATGGAGTGCACCACGTCCACGTAACTGCTGACCATGAACTTGGACAGCGTGACCAGCGTGGTAACAGAATCACAGGAGCAAGAGGTGGGAGTAGGGAGGCAGCCAGAGGGTCCCCTTGCCTGACTCTCCCAGCCCAGGAGATAATATATCAGGGGGCCCCTAGGAAAAGGGGGTTCCATGTTCCCAGCCTCATTTAGGAGAGGGTGGAGCTGGCCGAAGGAAGCGGCTGGGAGCAGGAGGGGCCTGGGGGAGTGCGGGGCGCAGAGACGCGGGAGGAGGCCGCGCTGGCTTCTGGGTCCTGGACGGGTGGAGCCGACGCGGTGAGACCGTGGGGAGGGGACGGAGGCAGCGTGGGTCTTGATCTGATTTTGCTCTTCTCCTCCCGGATACGCCCCTTTCTCTGAGCGCCCGGGAGGTGCCTTAGGCCCCCTGCTCTGGGCCAGCCCCGTTCGGCTGGGCGTTCACCCGCGAGGGGACGGGGGACCGGGGAGCTGGATCTGGAAACTTCGGTCCTCCCCGTCTGCGCAGCACGCGATCGTGGTCAAGCTCCTTTCCGCTGACGGTCTCGCACGCGAGCTTGTGTTCTGTCTCGATGGCGAGGATGGCAGCCCCTTTAGAGCGGGCAGGTTTGGGGGTTCTGGGGCGCCCTCTCCCTGCCTGGTAACAAATACAGCCAGAAATTCAACCACTGGGTTCAGAAGCAACGATGGGGCCTGTTAGGGGTTCCAGGACCGTTTCCACCGCCAGAGACGAGGGGTCCCATCTGCACGCCGGACTTGGGGCCAGAACACGGGCTCTGGCCAGAGGCCCCTGGACGAAGGCCCAGCTCGCCCCTCCTCTGAGCTGGGTTCGCGGGGAGGACCGTCTCTGCAGAAGTCCACTGCGGAGGCGAGCGGGCTTCGAGGGGTGGCCTGCTGGCCCTGGTGTGCGGCTCCCAGCGCAGATGGCTGCCCCTGGGAGTCTGGACCCTGCGCCTGCCCCCCGTGGGCCCCGCGCCCCTGCCCCCCGTGGACCCCGCGCCCCTGACCCCGTGCGCCCCCCCCGCGCCCCTGACCCCGTGGGCCCCGCGCCCCTGCCCCCCGTGGGCCCCGCGCCCCTGACCCCGTGGGCCCCTCGCCCCTGCCCCCCGTGGGCCCCGCGCCCCTGCCCCCCGTGGGCCCCGCGCCCCTGCCCCCCGTGGGCCCCGCGCCCCTGCCCCCGTGGGCCCCGCGCCCCTGTCCCCACCACCCCAGCCTCTGCTCCGGCTCTCCCGGCCCCCGCCCCCAGCGGGCCGGGCGCGCAGCGCGCATGCGCGGGCCGTTGGCGGCCGGAACCCGGCGCCGGGGCTGCGCGGCCGGGGGAGCGCGTTGGGCGACGCACCGGACGTCGCGGCGGGGGCGTCCGGGCGGCGAAGCTGGAGCGGCGGTGGCGGCGGCGGCGGGAGGCCGGGGCCGGGGCTGAGGCCGGGGCCGGGGCTGCGAAGCCCGCGGGGCGGCAGGCGGCGGCGGCCCGGGGCTCGAGCCCGGAGGCGGAAGCGGCCGCCATGGCCGAGAGCATCGTGAGTCGGCGGCGGCGGCGGCGGGATGAGGCAGCAGATTTGCCGGCGCGGCCTGGGGCGGCCTCGGGGCGCGGGCGGGCGGGGCGGGCTGTGCGCGGCGCCGGTCCCGGGGAGGCCCGGCCCGGCTGGAGGCCCCTCGGGGGTGGAGGCCCGGCCGGGTGGAGGCCCCTCGGGGATGGAGGCCCGGCCGGGCTGGAGGCCCCGTCCAGGGTGAAGGCCCGGCCCGGCTGGAGGCCCCGTCCAGGGTGGAGGCCCCATCTGGGGTGGAGGCCCTGTCCAGGGTGGAGACACGGTCTGGGGGAGTCCTGTCCTGGCTGGAGGCTCTCTGGGGTGGAGGCCCAATCTTGGGGACACCTGTCTTGGGTTCTCTCTGGGGCCGCTGCGGGTGGGGACCTGGTGCTTCCTTCCAGCCCCTGGCCAGAGGCCCCCATGGGAGGGGCTGCAGAGAAGGGGCCACAGGGCCTGGCTTGCTTGCCACCCTGTTTGTAGAGGCTTCCCTGAGTCAGGCACACTCCCTCTCCCCTTGGAAGTGAAGTCAGCGAAATCACGAAGAGCCTGTCAGGGTGGACTCGGGAAAAGTTTTCCCTTAAGAGTAAGTGGCAGAAGGAAAAATCCAGGGATCAGCTGGCCAGGGGATCTGGGTGAAGGAGCGTCGGGACTTCCTGGGAGGCCAAGTGGCAGGTGACAGGGTGACCTGGCAGCCTGGCCAGCTGTCCTCTGGTCCTGCCACGCCTGGCTGGAGCACGCAGCTCTGCAGGAAGGCCCCAACCCCACCCCACCCCCGTTAGTCCCTTGCTCAGTTAGTCTCCGTTAGTCTCCACGCTGTGGGCAACTCCCTCCACGGGTCCCATCCGGACGTGACAGGAGCCATGAGAAAGAGGACAGGGATTCCTTTGAGGAGAAGACCGGTGACTTCTAGGCACAGGGTTAAGAGTTCGCAAGCAAATCCGCCCGAAGTGCTCACCTGGAGGGACCGGGACAAGCCGCCTCCAGAGGAGACCGTGTCGCTGCTGCTCGCGCTGGACGTGTCCGGTCTGTCGAACTTCTCAGATTGTGACCTTTTGAAATTGATTTTAAAAGTTTGCTTTGAGCTGAGGAAGGTGGCCCCTGGGAGGTGTGCCTGTGCTGGTCTTTATCTTGCTGATTCCCGGACTCCCTGAGAAATGACCCGGGCTTGTTTGCTTCCCGTAGGGAGCCTGAGCCACGTGTCTGCGTTGTGGCCACGCCGTGCGCTCCAGTGCTCTGTGCTGGGGCCTGTGTCTGGCACGGCCGAACGGCCATTGGCACAGTTTTGTCTGTGTCTTGGCGTCGGGCACCTGGTTCCGCCTGGAAGCCGGGCTGCTCTCCATGCTTTGGGCCGCCTAGGCTCCCAGAACGCACAGGCCTGGCCGCCTGCCCCTGGGGCCGTCCGTTCCCCACCCCCGAGCGAGCCTGTGGCCGGTCCCCAGGCGGTTCCAGAGCGGGCTCCTGAGGGTCAGTCCAGGAGCCGTGTGTGGCCGCCCAGGGCGAGGAGACTGCAGTGGCCGCATGCACGTCTTGCCTTGTGCAAGCGTGAGGATCAGCCCAGAACAGTCCCAACAGTTGAGGGCAACGAGGGGGATCCTCTTCTGTCTAGAGAAAGTTATGCAAGTGCGAGAGTCACCTGCTTTCAGGGAGCCACTCGCTGGTGCTGCTGCCCTCTTTGAACAGCGGCTCCAGGCCTTTGGCTGTCTCCGTGGGCCACAGGCCACAGGTCACGGCCCTCGGCTCTCCTCAGGCCTGGCCTGCTGCCAGCTTTGTGCCTGACGCCTCTGCTTGCTCCCTCCCTCCTCCTCCCTCCCCCTCCCTCCTCCTCCCCCCTCCTCTCTCCTCCCTCCTCCTCCCTTCTTCCTCCCTCCTCCTCCCTCCTCCTTCCTCCTCCCTCCTCCTCCCTCCTCCTCCCTCCCTCTGCTTCCTTTAGTTTCCAAGTCCCTGTCCCTCTGCCCCTCGCTGTGAAAGGTGCGTGGAGGGTCTCGGCCCTCCTGTCCCGCCACGGGCCCGGCTGAGGCCTGTGTAGGTGCCAGAGCCGCGGGACCCTTCTGAGGAGCCTGGTCAGTTTAGTTTGCGGTGAGGCCTTTACCAGGCGTGGGTTTTTTGGTAAATCCAAGGAGAAAAGTCTCGTCGTCCCAGGTAGCGCCTCAGCAAGGAGCGGCCCAAGAGTCGGGCTGCCTCCTCTGAGCGGACGGGGCAGCGCGGGGTGCCGAGTCTCAGGAGCGCCCTTCGGGCAGGCGGGCTGGGCAGTGCCGGGAGGACGAGGGGCCAGAGCCTCCCTGGGGGTGCAGCGGCCGCTTTGTTTCATTCACAACAGATCATTCGCGTCCAGTCCCCCGACGGGGTGAAGCGGATCACGGCCACGAAGCGAGAGACGGCCGCAGCCTTTCTGAAGAAGGTACCTGCGCTAGGGGTTGGCGCCGGGGCCTCGCCCACCTGTCCCTCCTCTCCCCCCTGGGGGCCCGGGCGGGGCGGTGCCTCCTGCGGGGGTGCCTTTGGGCACCCCGTCCTCCGGCATGTGCTGCGTGACACAAAGCGCGGGTGTCTGCGGGGTGCTCGGGCGGCTCTTGTCAGACTCAGTCCCGGTTCATCCCGGCTGTCCCTCCACCTGCGGCACCGAGCAGCCGGCCAGTCGCCCCTTGGGTTTCTTGCCCTGGGAGTGCCTTGTGCCGCCTCCCATGTGGGCCAGCGTCTCCGGCAGAGGAGCTCCGGGCTGGCAGGGCCCCTCCCACCGCGGGCCACTGAGCTCTGGTGTCAGCCCCTGACCCGGTGTGCCTGCCTCCTGGTGGGCGAGCTTTCTGGGTTGATTTCATCAGAGGGTTTCCCCTTCAGTGGGTCCTCTCTGCTACCCTGACGGTCGCCCGGCCCCGCCCTGGCTCCTCCCCACTGCCGCCTGGGCCGCCCCGGCTCCTCCTGTCCTGGCCTCACCGCCGTCTCAGCCTCTTTCCCTGGGAGGGGCCCTTCTCCCTTTCCTGCCTTGTCTTTGGTGACTCGGTTTCCCCATCTGATGGTGAGGGCCTCGGCGGCAGGAACCTTGTCTGTCCTCATTCCCTGCCGTATCCTGAGCGCCCGCAGGTGGCTGCTTGTTGAGTGGCTGAGTGAGCGCGCGTCCCCGCTGCCGGCAGTGCCTGTGTTCCTGGTGGGTCTCTCCACACTTTTTGCTTTTCGTTGCAAAACCGGCGTCGGGCTCTCATGTGGGCCCCAGGAGTAGAGGTAGAGCTCTGAGAAGGCCGCGAGCCTTGCCTGTCCAAGCACTCCAGTGAGTCAGTTGCCTTTACCCAGGTCTAGGCTGCTTCTGACCGCTTTTTTCATTCTAATTGATTTCTGCAGAAACCACAATCTCCACCCCAGGAGCGCAGAGTCAGAGGTCCGGGTTGGCGGGGACAGCTCCTGGCGCAGCGCGTGTCCCGCACGTCTGATGGGCATGTGTGGCTGGAACCGTGACACGTCGGTCTCTTCATGAAAACTCTGTCGTTTGGGGTTTTTTAGGTGGCGAAGGAGTTTGGCTTCCAGAACAATGGCTTCTCGGTTTACATCAACAGAAATAAGACTGGAGAGATCACCGCGTCGCCCACCAAGTCCCTCAACCTGCTGAAAATCAAGTGAGTGCCCGCAAGGTGGCCAGGGCAGTGTCCAGCTGTGGCTCCCCCCCCCCGGGTTGCTCCGGCCACCTTCCTCCTCCCGCTGCTCTGGGCCGGGCCTCCTGCCCAGCGTGAGGTATCCTGTGTCTCTGCAGGTTCTGGGGTGTTTCAGTCTCACCCCGGGGCTGAGGGGGTTGGATGCAGGGAGGTAGGTGCTAAGGTGGGGGGACAGAGGAGTGGACAGCCAGGGTGAAGATGCAGTGGCCCAGCATGCACCCCACAACACAGCTGTACAGCCCCGGAGTCCTGGGCACCCACCACTGTTCTGTGGCACGGTCGGGGTGGGGGGGGATCGCTGGCCTGGAGGCTGACACGCTGTCCACGCAGGCACGGCGACCTGCTGTTCCTGTTTCCCTCGAGCCTGGCCGGCCCCTCCTCAGAGATGGAGACCTCAGCGCCCCTGGGGCTCAGAGCCCTGGGTGCACCCAGCGTGGTGGAGGACGAGATCGACCAGTACCTCAGCCGGCAGGATGGGAAGATCTACCGGAGCCGCGACCCCCAGCTGTGAGTGCCACGGCCAGTGGGGGCGGGGGTTGGGTCAGACTCCTTTCAGGTTAAATTTCATTTCAGGTTATTTTACAAGGCTCTTCGTGCTTCTGGAATCTCAGAATGTGTTCCGCGGAAACTTTGGTGGTTTTTTTTTTTTTTTGCGTTTACAAGAGCAAGAATTGGGGTATAGTCAGAGGCGTGGGAGGGTGAGAGAATTCTGCTGAGGGAGCAGAGGACGAGGGAGGAGAGGTCTGCTGCGCCGTGTGGGAATCTTCCCGGCCGGTCGGGAATCGAACCCGCGCTGCAGAGGCCGCGGACAGCTTCACAGCACTGCGCTCAACCCGCTGCACCACCGGGGAGGCCTGAAATTATTTTTACTTTCGTGTAGAAGAGTTGGTCAGGGATCGAGCTCAGGCCACAGTGGCTGGCGATAGCGTCATAGTGCTGAGGCTTACCCTGCGACCCGGGGCGGCCCTCCATGGGAACTTTCAAAGTCTTCAAGTATTCGGGTACTTTCAGAGAGCAGAGGGGCCTTAGGCTGGACCCACTCCTGGAGAGCTGGCCGGTGCACCTCACCCTCCACCCTGAGCTGCCACTGGGTCTATGGCCAGCCTCGGGCTTGTGGGCCATCGTTTAGTGTGGTCTTTGCAGTTCTTTCAGAGAAACCAGTCGGGACTCTCTAGGTCCGCACTGGTGCCTTGGCGTCGTCTGGGTGCAGTGGTGTCTGGCATTGCCTCATCCCCTGGGCCTGAGGGGCTGCCGCTGAGCTGCTGGGATCCCACCTGCTGCCTCAGCGGCCCCCGGGGCCTGAGCTGCAGTTGGTGCGGCCCAGCCGCGCAGCCCCAACGTGAGCCACCCGCGCCACGCTCGCCCCTCAGGCTCTGCCAGAGACCTGTCCTCGGGACTGCTGGCCTCACGCTGCCTGGAAAGGGTCCGAGCCCCAGCCTCCCACGCTGGGACCAGCCAGGCCACCGTCCTGAGAGGCCCTGTCGGGGGCCCGCAGAGCCTAGCGCTTTCATCTTTTCCCCAAAATGTCGTGAGGTAGCTGTTTCCCGGTGTGAGGCATCTGGGCCTTCTGGGCTGGCTGTGCCCCTTCGCCGCCCTCCTGGTGCCCACGGCCATTCTCGTGTGGCTCGACTGGACGTCTGTCCTGTCTGTTTACTTGGCGTCATGCAACCACAGGCTCGGAGGGCTGCCAGTGTCTACCCGACACGCATCAAAGGAGATGCCAAACCCTGAGAGCTGCAGCGGGGCCCCCGAGGCTCCCTCCCGTACGTGGCCCCCACGGGCGTGCGCGGGCGGGCTCAGTGCCCTCGGCCTCGGGAGCAGCCTTGGGGGCGTCCATTCTCATGGCTGTTTCTCTTGCCTGTGCCTCTCAGGTGCCGCCACGGGCCACTGGGGAAGTGCGTACACTGCGTGCCTCTGGAGGTGAGTGGGGCGTGAGCTCCCCCGCCCCGCGGCCCCGCCGTCCCCTCCGTGCGGGCTGCCGGGAGAATGCGCCTGTATTGAGGGTGTGACCTGCTGGCGGGGTTGAGCACCGTGGCGCTGTGTGATGAGGGGCAGCCTTCCCGGTGCTGCCTCCGTCCAGCTGGGCTGTGGCTTCCCCAGCCTGTCTTGGTTTCCCCAGCCCTGGTCCCACGTCCTGCTGGGTCTGCTCTCCACGGCTCTGCTGACTGGGGAATGCGCTGCCGCCTCTGCGGCTGCGAGGCCCACCCGCCCTGCGGGGCCACTGGATGAAGCAAGTCGAGTGGATTTAAACGGGATTTTACAAAGATTCGTTTTAATCGCGAGCAGTAGCTGGAACACAGGCTCGATTTGTTGAGCGCAGAGCTAGATTGATGAGCGAGCCGGGCGCCTGCCCTCGCGGGTGTGACCCTCGCCATGTGTCTTGCAGCCCTTCGACGAGGACTACTTGAACCACCTCGAGCCTCCCGTGAAGCACATGTCCTTCCACGCCTACATCCGGAAGCTGACCGGCGGGGCCGACAAGTGAGCCCGGGGGCTGGCAGGCTGCCCGCGGGCCTCGGGGCTGGGGCTCCTTGGTGCAGCTGCTGGCGGGTGTCGCTTGAAGCCGCTGGGCTCGAGAAGCGCGAAAGTGAAGGCCCGAGTCAGGGCCTGAAGCACTGAGCGCGAGTCTTGCCCTGGTTCTAGAAAAGAAACAGGCACTTTGCTGGGACCCACATGCCCCCTGGGTGGACACCAGGCTGGGGGGGGCCACTGGGGAGGCTGATGGCGTCCGAGGTGGGCGAGACCCGCTGCTGGTGTCTGTGTCTGCGCTTGCCACTGCCAAAGTGTTGCTCGTGTCTCTCCCTGCTCTCCTCTTCATCACCAAGTCCATGGCTGCAGGGAGGGCCACCTCACGAGCCCCGGGCTGCTGTCCGCGGGCCGCCCAGCAGGCGTGGCGGCGGCAGCGGCAGCTGTGCTGGAGGGGCATGTGGAGCGCATCGAGGTGCTCGGGCGCTGGGGCTGGCGACCCTCCTCCCGGGTGCGGACGCCTGTCGGTGTGGCCCGAGGAGCCGGCGCCCGGGCGAGGCAGCGGCACCCGGGGAGCAATGTCCCACCGCCTGGCCGTGGCTTTCTCTGGCAGCCTGTGATGCCACGGGTGCCTTAGAAAGCTGGCGGGGGGGGGAACTGCCACTACAAAGCTGTTCTCCCCCATCGGCGGGTTGCGCTGTGGACTCGCTGGGAGATGCCTAGTGGCTCGTGCAGAGGCCCTTGGCTAGACCTGCGGGGGGCGCTCTCATAGTTGTTACTGCCAGGCAGCCCCTAGCAGTGGGGTGTCTCAGCTGGTGGCTGCGAACGGGGGCCTATCTGGCATCCTGCGGCTCGGCTCCCACTGTCAGCCTTGCTGGCGTGCCGGGGTGGGGGCTGGGAAGGGGCTGGTTCTTTGTGCCAGGCTTGCCCCAAAATGCTGTAGGACTCTCGGGGTCTGCGCGGCTGCCAGCGCAGCCGGGGGGCATCCGGGCTGCAGTGTGGGCCCAGGCTGTGCTGCCCTCCCCTCGGCAGCACCAGGAGCCCCCTCTGCCTGGGGGCCGGGCCCGCCCGCCAACCCGCTGGCACGTGCCTTTAGCCACTCCTCTCACTCAGGGGGAAGTTTGTGGCCCTGGAGAACATCAGCTGCAAGATCAAATCAGGATGTGAGGGGCATCTCCCGTGGCCCAACGGTATCTGCACCAAATGCCAGCCCAGCGCCATCACGCTGAACAGACAGGTGAGTGGCCGCCTGCTGAGCCCGGGCGCCTCATCGCCAGGCCTAGGAGATGGGGGCCCCACAGGCCGTCCTCTTGGGGGTGCCGCTGGCCGCATGCGCGTCCTTGGCTCTTGTCTGAAGACCATGCTTTGAGGCGGAGACACCATCGCTGTCTCGCCGGTGCCTGTGGTGAGGACCTGGGGGCTCCTGCTGCCTGGGCCCCTGGCGTCAGAATTGTCCTGGGGGCGCTTTGGAACGCCCAGTGCCTGGCATCACCCTAGGAAGAGGCTCTGCAGCTGGGGGCGGGGCAGGGGCCGGAGCCGAGGGCAGGCCCCAGGCCGCTTGGCGCTGGAGATCCCTCTTCCTCCCTTTCCCCCGCCCCATTTCACGCTCTTCTCGCGACCGGAATTAAATTGTTACGGGGCAGGGTGAGGGACACTCCTCCGGGGCCCCCAAATCTGCCTGCTTTTAATGAGCTCTGCCGTATGCTGCGAGGAGACCGCGCATGCCCCGGCGCAGAGCCTGGCGGGAAGGGACTGGAGCGCGACTGGCGCAGCAGGGCGGAGAGAGAAGGGTGCTTCAAGCGGCTCCCCCGCACACCCAGCGTCACCGCCCCGGGGGAAATGTCCAGCCAGCCAGGGCTGGTCTCAGCAGGGCCGCTGAAGCCCGAAAATCTGCCCACGACTAAGGCACCCCCTGGGGCCACTGTGGGGAAGGGGCAGGGGGCCGGGCGAGTCCGGGAGGAGAGGCGCCACGGGCAGCCTCCCTGGGCTTCTCATCCCTGTCTCTGCCTCAGCCGAGGGGCCCGGCCCCGGCCCCTGTCGCTCATCCCCCGGGCTCCCCTCCCTGCTCAGCTCCCTTCCCTTGGGTGGGGGGGGGACCCTGGGGCCCCCCTGGTAAAATTCACCAACGAACCCCACGCCACCCGCCCGCTGGGATCGAGTGTGGTCTTGGGCAGGCGCGCCCCCAAAGCCGGGGTGCGCGCGCGGAGCTGGGGACCGGCGCTGGCGAGGATATTTGCGGGGCAGTAACTGGTCTAGGCGGGCCCTTGACGCGTGCCCCGGTTCCTGCAGAAGTACAGGCACGTGGACAACATCATGTTCGAGAACCACACGGTGGCTGACCGCTTCCTCGACTTCTGGAGGAAGACGGGCACCCAGCACTTTGGGTACCTGTACGGCCGCTACACGGAGCACAAGGACATTCCCCTCGGCATCAGGGCTGAGGTGGCCGCCATCTACGAGCCGCCTCAGGTACGCGCTGCGGGTGCAGGCCGGGCGGCCGGTCTCGGTGGCTCCTCAGGCCTCGCCTGCCGCCCCTGTCACACGTGCTCATTTTCTGGGTCAGCGGAGAGTACCGCGTGCGCCCTGACGTCTGTGAGCTCCCTGTGTGGCGGGGTCTGTCTGGGCGGCGGGTCTGAGCACGCCTGCCCCACGCAGCTGTCAGCACCGCACCCTGCAGTCAGGCCCCGAACGCTGAGCCCGGAGGGTCTCTGGCGGGGCAGCCCCACCAGACATGTGCTTCTCCCTCCGCCCCACAGTCAGGTGGGCTTGCCGCGCTGGTGCCTTTGTGGCAAGAGGGAGACTGGCCGTGAGACCCGGCCCCGGGCCGTCCTGGCAGGGCCTGCAGCCCTGGGAGGTGGGAGGTGGGGCCCCCTCGCAGGCTGCTGCGTGGCTCTGTGGGATCCGGGGGACTTCGCTGTGTGTGTGAGACTTGCTGTGAAAAAGACGTCAGGAGAGAAAAATAATTGCCCAGCTTCAGTGTGAGCGCCACACCGGCTCACGGGCCATCGTCTAGCTCTCGAGGGTGTGATCGCTAACACCAGCGCAGGCGGGTGGACACGTGTCCCCGGCACAGCGCCCTGCGGGCTACGACCCCTCTGCATGGACACGGCCCTTCATGAGGCCTTCCCGGCGGTCCCTGTCCGAGGAGTCGCTCAGGGCTTGGGGGCTGGGAAGGCGCGTGTGTGTAGACTCTGGGACAGATCGGCACCTTCCAGCTGGGCCTGCCTGGCTCTGCCGCGCTGCCCTGGGGAGGGAGACCTGGGGCTCGTGCGGTGGGGGCTATGGTGGGGCAGGGCCTCCAGATCTAGACTGCTCACCCCAGCAGACCCCAATTTGACTCCATGAGGGGACACCGCTGGCCTCCGGCGGCTTCAGCGTGTCAGAAGCTGGCACTCTGCCACCCCAGGCCGCGGGACGGGCCCTGAGCCCTGCTTGGGTGCTGGCGAGCTGCATGTGGGCGAGGCCCAGCCGCGCGGGGCTCTCGGCCCTCTGCCCGGGCTCTGGCTTGCAGGTCTGTGCCAGTTGGGGTGGCCCACCTGGGGGTGCATTGCTTTTGCTGTTTCTGCTCAGCCAGTAAGCCATGATTCAGTGAGGATGAAAGACCTCAGGGAGCTTGCCCACGGCGGGAGTGGGGTCCTGTGGCCGGTTTCCATTGCCTGGAGCCAGCCAGAGCCACCCGCTTGGGGAGCATGTCTGCTGCACACGCCGTCTGACAGCCACCCTGCGGGGCGCACAGCTGTCAGGGCTGCTCCCTGGGGACTCGTCACCTTCTACCTCTGACCCAGCCAGGCCCAGTCAGGACGGAGCTGTTTACCCAGGGGCGAACGAGGTCCCCCCAGCGCAGGCGCCCTGGGGAGCTCCTCCACCCCAGGCCAGGAGCAGCGGAGTCCCTTGCCCTGAGCACCTTCTGCCGCGAGGCTCCTGCCGTGCATGGGGCAGCACCCTTGTGACCCGGGCTGTGGGCGGCGGTGGCAGCCAGCTTTCTGGGCCTGGGCCCCAGCCCTTAATCTCCCCTCTCTTGTGCCCACAGATCGGCACTCAGAACAGCCTGGAGCTGCTGGAAGACCCCAAAGCTGAAGTGGTTGATGAAATCGCAGCTAAGCTTGGCCTGAGGAAGGTGCTGAGCGTCCTCTTGGCTCTGGGGAGGGGATGGCGGGTGTCCTAGGGGTTGGCCAGGTCCACTCTGGGACTGCGGGTCGGCGTCTTGACGTGAGGTGAGGCGTCTCCCTGTGCACGGGCACATGCTGCTGGCTGACAGTGCGCTTGAGGACTGGTGGGCGGGGAGGGAGGCCCAACCTGAGCCCAGGCTGGCAGGGACCTGCGTCCCCAGAAAAGCTTCCTCTGGGCACAGCCCGGACACCCTGGGCACGGGCTCAGAGGCCCCTCCCGTGCAGGTCGGCTGGATCTTCACAGACCTCGTCTCGGAAGACACCCGCAAGGGCACCGTCCGCTACAGTCGGAACAAGGTGGGGGATGCCGGGGCCTGCGGGGTAGGGGCTGCTGGCTGTGGCTTGCAGGACAAGGCCGCCGCGCCTTGGGGTGGGCTGCGTGGACGTCTGGCCTGTGGGCGCGCATGGGTGTGTGCTTCTGCGATGGGGCGGGGTCCATCTCGACGCTGCTTGGACGCGGCGTGGTTTGTCTTCTGAGGGGACAGCGGGGCCCCCTTGGGTGGCGCTGCGAGGACTTAGCGCTTGGCCCCTTTCTAGGATACCTATTTCCTGAGCGCAGAGGAGTGCATCACCGCAGGAGACTTCCAGAACAAGCACCCCAACATCTGCCGGCTCTCCCCCGATGGGCATTTTGGATCCAAGTTTGTCACGGCGGTGGCTACAGGTGCACATGGGGCTGGGTCCTGTCGTGTGCCCCACCTCATTACGCCTGCGGCCTCGCTCCCGAGCCAGTCCTCCTGTCCGCAGCAGTTCCCTGAGGGGGAGTGAGCAGCGATTCCTCTTTTTGGTTTGCGGTAAAAATCCCGCGTTCTCCACCTCTCCCAGAGGACGCCCAATGCCGTATCCCCCCTGATGGCCGAGCGCTCCCCACGAATCCTCTCGGCGGGGATGCCCCGGCCACACGGCGCTGTGGCCCGTGAGAGCCCCGCTCTCCAGACCCGCCGCAGGGCCGCCCCGAGTAAGGCCAGCGTGGCCCTGCGCCCTACCTGTGCCGTGCCGGCCGCCGGAGGCCTCAGAGTGGGCTGTGTGCTTGCCCGCGCCCCCTCTCTGCGGCCTGCGTCTGGGCTCTTGGAGGGGGGCACTGCACCTTGCCGGCAGGCTGGTGGGCGGAGGCCGTGCCAGGGCCGGGAAGTGCCTGCCCTTCCCGCTTCCCTCTGCTTGTCAGAGGCCAGGCTTTTCTCCTGAATGACCCGGGCCCCTTTGACAATCCCTCTGAAGCCGGCACAGGCTTACCATGAGGTTGGGTTTAGCAGCCGCCGCAGGCGCTCCAGGCACGCTCTGGGGTGTGGGGTTCGTGCCCCAGAAGGCACGGGGCAGAGGGGGGCAGTGGGCTGTGTGGTGTCGCTGCCTTGGTGTGAGGAGGTGGTCACTGCCCAAGCCTGGCCACCTCTCCCAGGGTGAGGGAGGCCAGAGAGGGGGGTGCTGGCCAAGGGGCTGCCCCGGTGTGTTCCCGTGGAGGCGACTGCCCTCCCTCAGCTTCCTGAGCAGCCTGGCCGTCGGGCATGGCCGCGGGGTCTCAGGAGGGGTCTGAAGCCAGACACATGTTTCTGCTCCCTGACCAGGGAGTTGCCAAGCGGCTGAGCTAGGGATAGAGAAGATTGGGCTCTAAGGCCGTTAAAACAACTGCTGACCGCGCGTGAGAGCCAGGCCTAGCCCGACCCACTGTCCATGGCTGCAGGGACCCGCACCAGGCCCTGTCTGCTCCCTCCCTCCTCTGCCCTGTGCACTGCCCGCACGGTGTAGGTTTGTGGGGGGTGGAGAGGCCAGACGCGCTCCCCACGGACTCAGGCTCTGGGTCACAGAAGACCTGTCCTTCTCGTGCTCGCGCTGTGCCTGTCTCCGCCGTCCACTCAAGAGTGGAAGTTCACTGGATGCAGGGCACTGCCTCCACCCCCCATGTCGTCCCCGGCCCGGGCAGCCTTGAGCCACCTTCCTGGTTCCTGCAGAAGGCTGCGGGGCCCGTGGGGCAGTGGGGCAGCCCGCGTCCTGCTCGGCTGTCCTTGGGCGCCTCTGCCTTCTCCCTGGGCCCGGGGTGAGCTGGTCGCGAGCGTGGGGTGGGGGCACGTGGACCCTGGTGGGGGGCTCTCTGACAGCGCCTCTCTCGCAGGTGGCCCCGACAACCAGGTCCACTTTGAAGGGTACCAGGTGTCCAACCAGTGCATGGCGCTGGTGCGGGACGAGTGCCTGCTACCCTGCAAGGACGCGCCGGAGCTGGGCTATGCCAAGGAGTCCAGCAGCGAGCAGTACGTGCCCGACGTTTTCTACAAGGTAAGGTCTGTCTGCCCGCAGCCCACCACCTCCCCAGGCCTCTGGGGCTGTGGGCTTTGCCACGCCACATCCCCCAGCTGCACGGGTGGCGCCCGCAGCCACAACCCGGCAGGCGAAGGGGTGCGCACTGCGGTGAGGCTCCCAAGGGTGCCTTATGGAAGCCACGTGGCCATTGCTGTAGGGGAAATCCTGGACACGGGGAGTCAGGGAGGCCCTTGCTGGTCCCAGCTTGGGGGGCCTCGGCCTCTGTGGTGCAGGGCAGAGGCTGCCTGGGGGAGACCCCGGCCCAGCCCCCGGTGCCCCTCTAGCTCTCGGCCAGGGGGCTCTGTGTGTCTAGTTCTCAGCTCTCGGGCATGTCTCCGGGGTTCATCCGCGCGGAGCGTTTGTGTTGCTGAGTTATGTTTGCTGCTGTGGGCGTAGCTGACGTGCAGGGCCGCGCCGGAGCCGGGAGGATGGGGAGCTGGGCAGCGCTGGGCCTCTTCCTGGAGGCGGCGGGCGAGGCAGGCTGGTGGGCATGGGGTTGGGGCCGCATCTCAGCTCTAGGGCGCGTTTTCCCTGGGCTCCTGACAGGGCAGCCTAGCGGCCTGGGGCGCAGTGGGAAGGGCACCCGTGTCTCCCTGTGAGGGGCAACCTCGGCCCTGTTTTCAAGCTCATCCTCCCCCAGTGCTCACCGTGGCATCCCTGGCCTCTCCCAAGACCCGCAAGGCCAAGTCAGCAGCTGCTTGAAGAGCCACTTCCTGGCGGTGCCCAGAAGCCCCAGCCCCACACCTGCTGAGGACCAGCAGGGCCAGCTGCCCGCCAGTGGTCCCCCTCGAGGCCCAGGCTTGAGGGCCACAGGCCTAGTGGTCCTGCCACCAGCCCTGAGCGTGCAGGGGCCGCCTGGTACCTTGTGCGAAGCCTCGGGTCCTGGGCAGGGACAGAGCCCACGCTGTCTCGAGGTGCTCCCTCGTCTGGCCACCGAGTCCTCCTCCCACATAGGCCACACGGCGTGTGGCTGAGGTGAGGCCAGCAGCCCGCCTCTCTCCAGGGCTCTCACCCGCATGCGGAGCAGCCGTCGGGTGGACTTTTAATGCTGCTGAGGAGTGAACATCCTGCCGTGCTGCTCCCCGAGGCTCTGCCCGAGTGACCCTGGCTGCCCCGCTGTGGCCGTGCCGGCCGTGCCCTCCATTTGCGCTTCTCTCAGGCACCCCCCCCCCCCCCCCCCCCCCCCCGTGCTGGTTCTCCGAGTGGGCTCCTGCCCCATTGTGGCGAGTGCGCCGGCCTGTGCGTCAGCCCCAGTTCTGGTGCCCGGCAGGCTCGAGGCTGCCCCCGCTGGCCCGGCGTGGTGTCCCTCTTGGCACCGTGCGCCCCTGTCAGGCATGTGCGCCCCATGCAGCGCCCGTGGGCCAGGCCTCTTGGTGGACGGGGCTTTCGCTTGTGCAGCCGCGTCAGGCCCCGGTGGGGTCGTGCCTCCTGCGGGGCCTGCCTGTGTGTGGTGTCAGGCAGGGACCAGCTTCTCTCTCGCGTCTTTCAACCCTTGGCTTGTCCCGTGCTGAACCGCGCGTGTGGGACGCCGGCCTGCTCCCTGCCCCCGCAGCCGGGTCCTGCCCTCAGCCTGGTGCCGGGCGGGCACAGCCTGGCGCGCTTGTCCCCGGCTTCGCCGGCCGTCGGTCTGGGAGCGGCTTCCCAGCTGCGTTCTGCGCGCACCCTGGTCTCCTCACTCCCCAGGCGGCCCCGGGTGGCAGCTGCAGGCGTCGAGGTGGAGAGCCGGGCTGCCGCAGACCAGCACAGCAGTGGACAATGAGGCCGTCTCGGGGTTGAGAGACTGCGCAGGGTGGTCAGGGAGTCGGCGAAACAAATGACAGACAGACACGCTTCAAGAGAGAGTGTAAATCTGAGTGCAACTTTATTTTTGTCAGTGGTCAGGTTATCTGTGTTTTTCTAAAGGCACAGGATCGGTTTTCAGTGAACTAAGCCCGCTGGCTCGTAGGTTTAGCTTATCGTCGACAGGGCAGTGACCTACGTCCGAAGTTACATCTGGACCTAGCTACGCTTCTGAGTAGACGGGCTATTCGTTCTTTCTTTTGTTCTACATAACTGCCTTTTTGTTTTAATGACTACTCACTACTACTAACTCATTTATTAATTAGCGTGGGTGAATATACTTTTCATAAGACCAAAGCTAACAAAGCCAAGGACACAATCAGAGAAATCATAAAACTAACAATTCTATTATTACACAGAGTTTAGTAACGTTTCATTTGCATTAGCCTCGTTATTAGATTACATGTGTTTTTTAATCAGCAATCAATGACCTTTTTAGACCGGGAAAAGGAAAGATTTTAGAGAGACGGTGGTAGCAGAGTAAGGTCTGCGGGCCTTGAGAAAGCGAGATGAGGTTCCAGGTGGTCAGCATGTCTTTTAACCATCTCTGCGGCGGCTCCCGGCGGTCGTCATCTCTTGGCAGGCATCCGGCTTCTCTCCTCTCGGGGAGTTTGCTGTTCTCCCCCTGCGCGCAGGGTTCCTGGCCCACGCCGGACCTCAGGGACCGTGGCAACAGCCATTAGCCCCGCAGGTCCCTGCAGGGGGACGTGCAGCACCGGGCCCCCCGCCCTTGCTGGGTTGTGATCAGGCGCTTTGTTTTCTACACGGGGTGCCCGACACGCTTGTCTTCATGTATTTGTTTGCTTTTCGGTTGTCAGAGCCTCTCCCGACGACCGTCTCGTGGCTGCTTAGAGGTTCGCGGGGTTTATGATGGGCACGCCCGCGGCTGCCGGCTCAGGGCGGCGCCCGTGGGCAGATGCTGGTCTTGAGTAGGATGAGGTCTTAGACTCGAGTAGTTTTGGGTTTTTTACGAGATTATTTAATAATCCGTAGAAGAGCTGGGGTGCGGGCCAGAGGGGTACGAGGGGGCGAGAGGACTCCCCAGAGACAGAGCGGAGAGCAGAGCAGGCGGATCCACCGAAACCCACTGTTGAGGGGAGCGGCGGGGAGACAGGAGAGGGCTGCTGCACCCTGGGGGTCACCCCCTGGCCGGGGATGCACTCAGGCTGCAGTGGCTGCCGACAGCTTCCCAGGCTGAGACTGAGCCCACGCCCGGGAGGCGCGGGAAGCACTGGCTCTCGTGAGCTTATTTCCCAAGCTGCGCCTGAGCGCAGCATGTCCGCCGCGCATCAGGCCCGTCGTCTCTTCATGACTGATGAGCACCGGCCGCCGCTTCTCCCTGTAGATACACTGTGCGTTCCGAGCTGCCGACAAAGCAAAACAAGCCTGGGCTCGGCGGGTGGGGTCCGTCTCTGTACGTGGGGGTGTTTGTCTGGTTCCCGCCTGCCCGTCACAGTCCCGTGGGGCTGGGCTTCTGGAGGTCAGCCTTGGTGCGTGGAGTTGGGGTGGCTGTGGGGCCGGAGCATGCCCCGGGCGCCCTGCCTGGGGGGCACCTTGGCTGTGGACCTGCCGCAGGAGTTGGGGGTCCGTGGGCACCGTCCCTCCTCACGCTGGGCACTTTCTCCTCATTTCAGGACATAGACAAGTTTGGCAATGAGATCACCCAGCTGGCCCGGCCTCTGCCCGTGGAGTACCTGATCATAGACGTGAGTGGGGGGCCCGTGGCGCCAGCTGTCTGTAAGCAGCTGGCGAGTTTAAGGGGTTTTCTTTGAGTTTCAGGTTTTTATTTCTTTGAAGACGACGTAAGTCAACTGTTCCCAAACTAAAGTGCAACCAAGGGCCCCGCCCTGGCCGTCGGCCTCTGGGCCTGTGACCGCAGGGGCTGCCCCAGCTCAGCGCCTGCCCACGCCGTCCGCGCTGTCCTGGGGTGACGCTCGCTGTGTCCTGGTCAGCATCCCGGAGCCCTTAGGGACCAGCCCCAGCCTCTCCCCCCACAAGAGGCGGAGGCTACACTGCCAGCTGCTGCCCGCCTGGCCCGCCGGCCACCATGGACTCGGGTGGGCGTGTGATTCCCGTTACTGGGGAGCGGCGGCCCCAGGAGCCGGCCCATCACCCCTCCCCGCGACAGCCCCCAGGACACGTGTGCCTTGGCTGAGGCGGCGTCTGTCTTCAGGCTTTCTGGGGTGTAACTAGACGGGACAGGTCGCTGGGACCTGCACTTAGGAGGCACTGGCAGACTTGAACCCCCTTCCTCGGGCCTCCTTCTTGCTCAAGGCCCAGCCCTGCGCCCGTCACACAAGCTGAGCTCAGCCTCCTGGGGCGTTCAGTCGTCCAGAAGGGGTGTTCCGCCTGTGAGATGGGCTCTGTTCCTGGAGGGAGGTTGGAGCCTCGCCCTTGGCTGACCCTGGGCTGCCCGGGGCTCTCAGACCTGTGGCCACACGGTAGGGAGCCGTGCCTGAGCCTGCGGAGGCCTCCGGTGTGTCTGGGCACAGCTAGGCCCCCTGCAGATGCCCGGGTGGGGGGCCACAAGTAGAGTTTCTGGACGCCCCACATTGTTTCTGGCTGCCTCATGGGCTTTGGATCTGCAGGCCCCAGGGCACATGGGGTCTGCGGCACCACTGAACCCCTGTTGCTCTCCGATAGGGAGGCACGAGCAGCCTGGGTGGCTGCGGAAGGCAGAGCAGAGTGGCACTTCATCTCAGAACAGTCCTGGAGGGCCCGTTAGCCCCCCAGGCCTGGAGGCGCTGCCCCCTGCTGCTGCTGTGGAGGTGGGGGGTGGCGCTTCAGGGTGAGGCTGGGTCTACCTCGATCCCTCGGGTTTGTGCCTCTGTCCCAGTCGCACCTATTGGTGAGACGTAGATTTAGGCCCCTCTGTCAGGACTGATGGCATCTGGGCCAGCGAAGGGCTCAGGCCTCCGGACACAAGCTCTGGGCTGCAGCCATTTTGGGGAGGCTGGGGCTGTGTCCTGCCTTGCAGGCCGGGCTCTCTACCTAGATGTGCATGACTCCGAGCCGGGCCCAGGATGCCGCCAGCCTGTACCTGTGGGGCTGCATCTGCCGGTGCCTCCAGCCTGCGGCCGGGGTCAGCTCCCGAGCTGCCTCCGGGCTGTCCGCCTGCCCTTGTTGCCCCGTGTATCCCTCCCGGGCGGGTGCCTTTCTCTCCACAGGACAGCAGCAGCCCCGGGTGCCCAGTGAGACCGGGTCAGGGGTCCAGGCGCCCGCGAACGGGACCGCAGAGCAGGGTCCTGAGGCTGCTGCCGGGGCTGTGGTGCAGCCCTTGCGTTCTGGGAGGCGCCTGTGCACTGGGGCAGCTGCCGGCAACTCCGGGCTGGGCTAGGGCGGGCACAGCACCTGCCACGGTCTGTCTGTTCTTCAGATCACGACGACCTTCCCCAAGGACCCCGTGTACACCTTCTCTATCTCACAAAGTCCGTTCCCCATCGAGAACCGGGACGTGCTGGGCGAGACGCAGGTGAGCCCTCCCCAAGCTCGGCGGCCCGTCGTCCGTCCTGTGGGAGCTGCTGCCTAGCCTTTGTCCTCGCCTTCGTCCTTGTGACATAGCCCAGCGAGGCCTTTTCTGAGCTTCCACTGGCCGCCACCTTGGGCAGGGCGGGTCCCCAGCCTGAGGGACCAGGAGGGCTGTCTCTGCCCTGGTGGTGGCTGAGCTGCGAGGCAGCTTGCTCCGGCCTCAGCTTGGGCGGCACCAGGCTGATGGGCTTCTCTGGTGCAGTGGCCTGTCCATGAGGCCCTCTGAGCTTTCCCTTGAAGGCCTCCTCTGTGCTGGTGCCCACGGCTGGCAGCTTTGGAAGCTGTACTTGCGCTCAGGCCCGCAGAGGTGCCGGGGCGTCCCCCCTGGCCCGGGGGTGACGTCTTGGGGGAGGCGGCTGCTCGGGCCCACCAGGGGGTGATGGTGTCCCTCCCGCCACCGCAGGACTTCCACAGTCTGGCCACCTACCTGTCCCAGAGTACCTCGTCTGTGTTCCTGGACACCGTTTCTGACTTCCACCTCCTGCTGTTCCTGGTCACCAACGAAGTCATGCCCCTGCAGGTGCGTGGCTGAGGGCGGGCCTCGCGTGGGGTGCATGGGGCAGCCCCGGCCAGAGAAGCTGGATTGTGTCACGTTTAATGTTTCCATGGCATCGCGCCCACCCTCCTGGCGCCTTCCTGCGCGCGCAGGGATCTAGCAGGCAAAGAACCCCGCCAGCCGAGTCCCAGCCTCTGGCTCCCTGGCGGCACCACCTCCTGCAGTGCACAGCTGTCATGAGCTCTTGGGAGGGCTGGGGGGCGCGCTGGGGGCTCTGTGCAGGTGGGCCTTGGGATATTTCCTTCCACTGGCACCACCGATTCCCCGTGTCCCCAGGGGTGACAGGGCAGAGGGAGAGCTCCGTCCCACCCTTCAGTTTGCCTCGTGTCTGCGCTTTGTCCTGCAACCGCCCCCTTTTGACATGGGGCACCAGCGCCCGAGGCTCTCCCCTTGCCACCCCAGTCCTGGTCTGCACCCGGGCCCTGCCTGTCCAGTGGCAGGGTGAGGGGGCAGGCTCCCGGCCAGGCTTCCTGATGGTCAGTGCTGGGATCTGGGGAGATCAGCCCTTGAGTTCTGTGCCCTTGGACTGGGGGCCGGCCTGGGAGGGCCTGCGGGCCTTGGAGGGGGTGGCAGATACAGGGCTTCAGGGACGTCACCCGCTAGCCCAGGTTCGCTCCAGTGTTCATAGGCCTGAGGGTGGGCATGTGGCGGCCGTGCAGGGCACCCCAAGGTGCCGGCAGTGGGGGCTGGAGAAGTCCCGGCCACAGGCGTGTCACAGACAGAGCTGGCGGTCTGCCTGCAGGACAGCATTGGCCTGCTATTGGAAGCCGTGCGGACCCGGGACGAGGAGCTGGCCCAGACGTGGAGGAAGTCGGAGCAGTGGGCCACCATCGAGCAGCTCTGCAGTGAGTGTTCGGCCCCCACATCCTGGGGTCGCAGCCTGTGTCGGAAGCCAGTCCTCCCAGGGGGACTCCAGCGGCCCTCTAGAGGCCCTGGGGACCACACGTCCACTTACATCAGGGGTGCAGCCCAGTGGGTGGTGCTGGAGCCAAAATAAGCCCCAAATCCTTGGAATCCCGGCTGTGGGCGCGGGCTGGTGGGTTGCCCTGTGCCTGCCATTAGAGCAGGATGGGTGAGCAGGGCATCGGGTGCAGGCCTGGGGGCCGGGGAGCCTGGCCTCTGCCCTGGGGTGCTGGCGGCCTGCCATGGACCGGGCCCAAGCAAACCTGGAGGCCCTGCACCCTCGGCTGGTATGGGAGCCACAGATGGCCCCACACTGTCCGCTGCCACCGCGCCTGGTGGAGGGGACAGCATCCTCCCCGCCGGCCGCCGTGCCCATGATGCTCTCGCACCCTGCACCCCCACGCCTGCGCCTTGGTTCACACCTGTGGGTGGCTCAGCTGGAAGGGACCAGCAGGGACACGTCTGTATGGGGGGGCCCTTTGCAGGGCGGGCCGGGACGGCCCCTCGACAGGTCCTGGGCAGGGGTGCGGGCTCCCGCCCACCCTGCAGCGGCTGCCAGGGGAGGGTGAAGAGCACCCTCGGACTGCCCGTGCAGACCTGGTGAGCCACCCTTCTCGTCCCGCAGGCACCGTGGGGGTACAGCTTCCGGGTCTCCAGGAGTACGGGGCCGTCGGGGGCTCGGCGCATGCCGCCACGGCCGCCATGTGGGCCTGCCAGCACTGCACCTTCGTGAACCAGCCGGGCACCGGCCACTGCGAGATGTGCAGCCTCCCCAGGACCTAGGCCCCGCGGGCCTGTGCCCGGCCCTCTCTCAAGCCCGCGTCCTGGGAGCCAGCCCCAGCCGCCCTGGGCCCCCTCACCAGGCTGCCTTGGAAGGGGGCCGGTCTCCGGTGGGGGCGGGCGGCGCTTCCTGGGCTCAGGCTGCTCCCACTGTCCCAGCTTCTCCCCTCCCCGGGCACCTCTGTTCCTGCCCCTCCCCAGGGGTGGTTCAGCGCTGCCTCCCCGTCGGGTCGCGTCTCTGGGGGTGCGGGCAGCGTGCCCCCACTGCTTGGTCCCCGGCCCACGCACTCCCCAACGCCAGGGGGGCTGAAGTCTGCGTTGGTGGGTGGTGACAGTTACCGGCGACTCCTACCCAGAAGACTTTTATTTATTTTTTTAAGATAAAAAGTGCAAAGGGGAGCAAGAGACTAGCTTTCCCTCCTCCCCCTCGGTGAGTCCCTGCGGGTACGGATGGCGGGCGCGGCCAGGGCCAGTTGGGTCTCCTCGGAAGTAAACCTCAGTGCCTGAGACTCCTGCCAAGCGGCAGGGCCGGCGGCTGCGCCCTGGCAGCTCGAGCGCATGCATGCTGGCCCCACTGGCCCTTTGGATGCCTGGCCCCGGCAGGGAGCTCGGGTCTCCCCTGCCCCACACACCGTTCCTCCTGGGGCCAACCTCTGGTCAGCGCGTGGCCCTCGAGACAGGCCAGTGGGGGTCCCTGGCCTCGTGGACCTGGGGCTCTGGGACTGTCGTGTGCTGGCGGGGGAGGCCTGGGCCATCCCGGGACAAAGGCCGTGGTGGGACCTGGCGCGCATGCTCCAGGCCTCGCGCCGCCTCTGGCAGCGTGCTAGGCTGACCCGTGGCCACGCCGAAGCCTCTTTGCCTTAACGAGAGCCATCTCTGAGCTGCACTCGCCCACTGAGGAGACCAGCAGACCGTGCGGGGACTTCGTCGGCCCGGGGCGGGCTGCCTGGAACACCCTCCTCACCCTAGCCACTGTGGACAGGAGCTGGCGGCCCTCGGGCCCACGAGGACAGGCACAGGCGGGTCTGCTCCTGGGGACAGAGGCACGCTGGGCTGGGCAGCACGGTCTGTTCTGAAACTGGACTCTGGCCGCATCTGCCCCTCCAGGCCGCTGCCAAGGACTCGGGCCCTGCTGACAGCGTCCGGAGGGCCTGTCCCTCCACCTGCGCTTGCCCCATATCTGCCAGCCCCACGCAGACCCTGCCCACCCTCTGCCACTCGCGCGTCTTTATCCACCAAGCCCGTTCCCTTTTCTCTTCAGTCAGCGTGTTCTTGCTTTGGACTCGGCCTTCACATAACCCATGTTTTCCTTTGTCTTCTAGCTCAAGAACAAGCTTTGTGATTTCTTGCTTCTGGTTTTGAGTCGCTTTGTTCAGTGATGCACTTTACTTTATCGTCCAAAGAGTCAGAGCTCAGTGGAAGGCTGGGGAAGTTGCCCAGCCGGCCTGGGTGAGCGGCCGCCTGCTGCAGCTCCATGGCCCGGCGGGGTGCCTGCCACCCCCGCCCAGCCTGCTCCTGGTGCTCCTGCGCTGCGCTGCGTGGGGCCCAGGGTGCAGGTTGTGCTGGCAATACCGGGGCCTGGACTCCGGCCTGCAGTGGGGTTAGTAAAAGCACCTGAGGTGGCTGCCAGGCCTCTGCACTGTGGTTCCTGCCCGTCTGCAGCGCCCATGTCTACTCTCCCTCTACCACCCGGCCTGCTAAAGGGGGTGGCCAGCCATGAGGCCAGGAGGGGTGGTCCTGTGACTGCCAGGACGCCCACGCCCTGGTTTCCCATGCACCTCCTGGCCCCTCTCTGTCCTGGCCAGGCACCTGCCTGCCATCCCCCCATCATGTGCATGCTCAAGGGCTGCCTGGGGTCACGGGTCCTGCTCTGGGGGCCGAGCTTGCGGCTTGCAGGATACGGCCGCCTGTCTCTCGGGGCTCTGGAGGCCCGCCCGCCCGAAGTCCAGCACATGTGCGCCTGCAAGGGCGCGGCGTCCTGCCGCCTTCCTGGCACAGTGGACTCTGGGTTAGGCAGAGAGCCCCCCACAAGGCCTGGGGTCCCCGTGGCCCTCATCTGCGGTACTGGCCTTAGGAAGAGGCCCGCTGCCCTGGAGGCCAGGCAACAGCACAGCCCGCCCCAGAGGCTCCTCGCTGGGAGTGCACCTCATCCCTGCCTGTGCCCCCATGACGCAGGCCCTTACGGCCGTGAAGCCCTCAGATCCCGAAGTGGGGCTCACCTGGGCTCGGGGCCAGAAAGCCTACGCCCCCCAGGGCCTCGCGGAGCAGGACGGCCTGATGGACGGCGCCTGCCCGCGCCCCCACGCTCGGCTCGTGTTCCCGAGAGCCAGCCCTGGCTCGCCCCAGGCGGGCAGTGGCCGGGGCGGCCCCGCGCAGGCCCACCGGGCGGCGCGCGCCCACCCTGGTCCTCCGGCGCGCGGGACGCCGGACGCCGCGCCTGGCCGCGGGGCCAGCAGGACCCACGGGCTTCGGAAGCGCTGCGGCCCAGGGGTCCTGCGCCCTCTGGCTGCGCGGAAGACGCGCGGGGCCGGCTGCGGCCCGCGGCGGAGGCTCCGGTTTCCCGCCTTCTGCCTTAAGCTCGTCAGCCCTTCGCGCAGCCTCCGCCGCCCCCGCCCGGGCCCCGCCCCCGCCCGGGCCCCGCCCCCGCCCGGGCCCCGCCCCCGCCCGGGCCCCGCCCCCGCCCGGACGCTTTACGCCAGAGGCGCGCGGCGGCCACGCGGCCGTAAAGCGCCGCGGGCCGCGCCATGGCCCGCCTCGCGCCGCGGGTCGAGTACCTGGCGGGCTTCCGCTGCCCGCTCGGGGGCCTGGCGGCGGGCAGGCCCCGGCTGCTGTGCCGCGGCGCGGACATCCTCCTGTCCCCCGGGGGCGAGCTGCTCCACGTCTACGACCGCGAGGCCGGGCTGCTGACGGTGGGCGCCGCGCGCGCGGGCGGGCGGGGCCTCGGGGGCGGGGCCTCGGGCGGGGCGGGGCCGCGGGGCGGGCGGGGCCGCGGGGCGGGGTGGGGCGGGCGGGGCCTCGGGGCGGGGCGGGGCGGGCGGGGCCTCGGGGCGGGGTGGGGCGGGCGGGGCCTCGGGATGGGGCGGGGCCGCGGGGCGGGGCGGGGCCGCGCGGGGCGTGGTTGAGAAGCTGAGGCTACCCGGCCCCGCCCCCGCAGGCTGCGTACAGGTTTCCCGCCCAGGTGTGGCACCTGCAGCTGCTGGCCGGTCACAGGGCACTCTTGGTCCTGTGTGCCCAGAGGGGCATTTACTGCCTGTCGCTGGAGCAGGCTGGCAGGTGAGCAGTGGGGTGCCCGCTGTACCCCCCCAGCACTCAAGCAGCACGTGCAGCCCAGAGCAGGGTCCTGCTTTTTTATCTTTGGGGGGCCCTCTTCCTCCTGGTGTGACTCCTTGGGGGGTGTTTCTAGACAGCATGAGGGCGAAAGCACCTGCACCCGAGTGGGGTTAGCGGAGACACGGGCCACGCTGGCCTAGGCCTGGAAGGCGGTGGGTGCACCTCACAGGTTGGGCCTAGGGGGGGCGCAGGCCTGGCAGGCCATCGTCATGGAATTTCCCACCTGAACCCCATTTCTGTACACCTCGGCCCCCTGCTGTGTGCACGGGTGGGAGGGGCAGAGCCACCCGAGGGCTGCCAGCCCCGGGCCCCGTGGAGACCAGCGGACAGTTCTGTGTCCCAAAGGACCGTGCACCGGGACGGCAGGGACAGCGAGAGCCCGGCCCCTGTGGTCGCCGTGGAGCCCGACGCCTGTGTCCTCGCGGACGCCACGCTGTGCGCCTTCGCCGTGCTGGACCACACGCTGGCCGTCCTGGGGCAGGGCCCCGCCCGGTGGAGGCTGCAGCTGTTCCACTGCCCCTGCCCCCGGGGGGCCCCCAGCCTAGGAGGCCAGATTGGGGAAGTGGAGCTGCCTCCTCAGGCCCCTCCAGGCGGGAGCCCGGGACAGCCCCCCGCCCCCGGCTTCCTCCCGGTGCTGTGCTGCGTGTCACCGCCAGGGCAGAGCAGTGGGGGCTTCACGCTGGAAGAGCCCCTCTTCGGGTTGCTCTTTGGAGCCGATGCCTCCATCCTGCAGTCTCCCGTGATCCTCTGCGGTCTCCCTGATGGCCAGCTGTGTTATGTGGTCCTGAAGGCCTTGGTCACCTCCAGGTTGACCCCTGGTGACCCCAAGGCCCTCGTCAAGATCCTCCACCACCTGGAGGAGCCTGTGGTCTTCGTGGGGGCCCTGAGGACAGAGCCACAGGCTGAGGACACGGGGGACATGCACTCTGACTGCCTAGTGGCCCTTGGTCACCACGGCCGGATGCTGGCCGTCAAGGCCAGAAGGGACGCGGGTGGGGGACCGGTGCCAGAGCTGCGGGACTATTGCCTCCCGGGGCCAGTGCTTTGCGCCGCCAGCGGGGGCAGCTGCCTGTACCAGAGCACCCCGTCGGGCCTCCATGTGCTGGACCTGGCTCGGGGCGGCAGCCCCCAGGAGCCCACCCTGCCCACCCCAGGCCGGGGAGTCCTGCCCCCCATGCTGTGTCCGGCCAGCTTGAGCGTCTGCAGCCTCATGAGCCTCTGCGTGCCGCCTGGGACTCGCGAAGGTACGAGCCACGCTGCTGCTTAAACACAAAACGCAAAGCCTCTGCGTTCTGCTTCCCCGCGACCTGGTGTCCCCGGCCACAGAGCTCCCCCAGCTGCAGGCTCCGCCCCTCGCCCTCAGGCCGGGGGTGACCTGGGCCGGGGGCATCTGAGCAGGTCCTTCGAGGGCCAGAGGCGGCGGCTCCGTGCCCCTGGGGGTCTGCCCGGTGGCGGGGGTAGGGCGGCCGGCCTGAGCAGGCTGGCTCTGGGAAGGGCCCGGAGGCCGCGGGGGCGAAGCGGAGGAGGCCTGGCCAGCTGGAGCCGCCCGGGCTGGCCAGGCCTGTCAGGGTCTCTCTCGGCCCTTTCAGTCCCCGCACATCACTGGGCCTCCGGGCGCCGTTGCCGCGGGTGCTTCTTAGGGGAGGCCGCGACTGGACGTGTGTGGGCAGTGGCCCCCTGGGGTGCTGGGCCTGCGGGGTGACCCGTCCTGGAGCCCGGAGCACGCAGCCCCAGCAGCTCACCCCCTATCCGACCGCAGACGGCACGGAGCTCCTGGCCATGTCGGCCAAGGGCCGCCTGCTCACCTGCCACCTGGCCCCGAGCCCCTCAGGAGCAGCCGCGGCCAGCACTGACCGGAAGATCGCTGGCCTGCTCGCCAGGGTGGCCGCCACGTCTGAGAGGTGAGCGGCTCCGGGGCCGCCGCCTTCTGCCTGGGGCGCCCCTTCTCCCTGCTGCCGGCCAGGGCCCACCGAGAGCCTCCGGGCGTGTGGCCGGGGCCAGCCCCTGCAGGCAGCGCCTCGGCCCGGGGTCAGAAGGCCCACGTTCGCGGGCGGCCCTCCCTGGGTGCCCGCCCCGCCGCTGGTGGAGGGCGAGGCTGTGGTCCCGCGGCCCGACGCTCCGGCCTCCAGCCCCCTCGCGCTCCCTGCAGGGCGTCTTCTCTGCGGAAGGCCCTGGACCAGCGGAGCCAGGCCTTGGCGCGCCTCAACGAAGCCATGAGCGTGAGCTGCGCCCTGCTGTCCACCCGCGCCGGCCCCCCGCCCATCTCCTGCAGCACCACCACCGCCTGGCATCGCCTGCACCCGCGCGACGTGCTGGTGGCCACCTGCCAGCTGGAGAACCGCAGCAGCCTCTGCCTGGGCCCCGGCTGGGCCCTGTGTGTGCGGCTGCTGCCCCCCATCCCCTCAACCGGCCCCACCCTCACCTGCACCGTCCCCCTGGGCCGGTTCGGGCCTGGCGGGCAGCGGGAGGTGACGCTGCCCCTGGGCCCTGGCAAGGATGGTGCGCTGGACCTGCCGGTGACGGTGTCCTGCACGCTTTTCTACAGCCTGAGGGAGGCCATGGGCGGGCCCCCCGGACCCCAGGACCCCCCCGGCTGCCCGCCTGAGCAGGACGGCGTCTGCCTGCCCCTGAGCGAGCACACGGTGGACCTGCTGCAGGGCCTGCGCTTCCCCGGCCTGGCCGAGCCCCCCGCGCCAGTCCCCAGTCTGCTTGGCCCTGCTGGCGACCCCGTGGATGCCTTCCTGGGCACGTGCCGCGGGCCGGGCCTGGAGCCAGCGGGACCCGCCCCCCTGCGGGCCACGTTCCTGCTCCCACCAGCAGCCAGCATCAGGGTGTCGGCCGAGCTGCTCGGGGGCGCCTTGGGGGACATCGGCGCAGGTCAGTGACTCTCTCTTCACTCCGGCCTTGAGCTGCCCCCACCCCGGCCCCGGCTCACCCTGGCCTCACTCCAGGGGCGCCCCTGTGCTGTGCTGCCCTGCAGTGGCTGCTGGCCGGGAATGCTGCCGCCGACGTCGTGCGGGCCCAGGCGCTGTCCTCTGTCCAGGGCGTGGGCCCCGACGGCACTGACGTCCACCTCGCCGTCCGTGAGGCAAGTGGAGACTGGGCTTCCAGCCTGGGCATGTTGGCCCTGACTGCAGGCAGGGCTGAGGCCTCGGGGCCCCAGGGCCACCCTCGCGCCAGCCCCCAGTGGCTTAGTCATGCTCTGCGCCCACAAGTCCCTGTGTCTCGGGTGCCCACCCCCAGCGCCTCGTCTCCCGCCCCCCCTTTCTGTGACCCTCCTGTTCCTGCCTCGGGGACCAGGGCACGGCCAGCGGGCATGACTGGGCACAAGCCAGGGCTGGTTCCAGGCCACACGAGCCTTGGTGAGCAGCCGCTGCCCCCAGAGACCCCTTTCAGGCCAGGCCGAGGCCAGGTTGGCACCTAGGTGGGGCACCCCTGGGCCCCGGGTCTGGGGCCTGGTGGTGGCTCCACAGGGGAGGCAGGGCAGGAGCTCGAGGGCCTGTGGGTGCCCTGGCGTGATCGTCCCCGGGCCCTGTGTGCCCTCCGGGGCCGTCCTTGGCTTGCTGACCCAGGCACCCAGCCGACTCGCAGCCTTGGCCTGGCCGGCTGGCGGTGCCAAACAGCAAGCCTCCCGGTGTGTTGCAGGAGACGCTGTCGGGCCTGAACCCGGCGGGCCCCATCCAGGCCGTGGACATCCAGGTGCAGAGCCCCACCCTGGGGCACGTGTGCGGGGCCCACCACGCCATCCTCCGGCGGGTGCAGGTGCGGCCGTCGCCGGGTGCCCCGTGAGCCCCCGCCCCCAGGTGGGCCAGGGCCTGGGAACAAGGGTTGGGGAGCCAGCAGTGGGCGGCTGGGGGTGCTCCCGCTGGGGGTCCTGGGAGGGCCCAGAGCAGGGTGGGGGGAGTCGGACGGCAGCCCCAGGCCCCCAGCCCCCTCCTATGTGTGCCCAGGCCCTGGTGGCGGAGCAGGCTGCCCGGGGCGCCTGCCCACCGGATCTCGACCTGCAGCGCCTACACCAGTTGCAGGCCGACCGCGAGGTGAGGCCCCTGGGGTCCTGCCGCCCCTACCTCCCAGCAGGTTCCCGGGGGTCCCCCATCCAGGGCATGGTCCCCTAACACGGGGGCATGGGCAGCATCCTTTCTGTCTCCTGCCCCCTCCGCTTGCCTGCCTCTGCCCTGAGGGCTGTGGGGTGCGGCTGGGCGGCCCTTTCCTTAGCATCCCCGCAAGTATCTCTGAAGCCACCCCCGTGTCCCGAGTAGGATTCCGTGGGGGGGCCCCGGGGAGGGGGTGGCGACGTGCCGGCCAAAGTGGGGCCCTGAGCCGCTGCTGCCCGCAGAGGCTGCTGCGCGAGGTGCGGACGCTGCGTGACCGGCTGTGCACGGAGGACGGGGCCGCGGACGGGGCAGGCACCGTGGCCCAGCGGCTCCTGCGGGTCTACCAGCAGCTGCGCAGCCCGGGCCTCCCCCTGCTGTGAGCCAGGTGGGTTCCACCCGACCGGCTCCCAGGCCCATCACCCAGACAGATCCCCAGACGCAAAGGCTGCTTCCTGGCCCTAGATCTGGGCGCACGGTGGACCTGGTCCTTGCTGCCCAGGCTCAGGGTGAGCTGGGCTGCTGTGCGGCAGACCCCCGGCAGCTGTCGCCCAGCCACTGTGGCCTTGTGGGGTCGGCCGGCTCCCTTCCCCAGTCCCAGCCCTGTCCCTCCCTCCAGCAGCTGCCAGGGCCTCTGCGCTGGACCTGGACCTGCTGGGCCTTCCCGCCTGAGCCAAGCTTGTCAGCGACATCCTGCCACCCGGAAGCCCGGCCCCGGATTCAGGTCCGGACCCTGGGGCGGAAGTGCCATGGCCGAGTGGCCCACGGAGGCCAGGGAGAAGCAGGGCCTCTGGGCCGGGACTCGGATGGGCTGGCCTCTGCTGGTCACTATTTCTGCCCAGAGCCGCCCCCACGGGACCTGTCAGCAGCTCGGTCCACCCCGCCCTGCCTCCTGGGGGTGCCTTGGGCTGCTCCTCTGCACGGTGACCGAGGCGCGGGGCCCCAGTGCAGGCGGCTGGGCGAGCAAGCCCTGGCTATGCCCCAGCTGCGCTCGCGGCCCACCGGGACTGGACTGTCCCCCAGCTGTGCACCTGAGGGCGTGGGCCTCACCCCCCCCCCCCCCCCCGTGACAAGTGACCCTTCCTGCTGACCGCGTCACCTGAGCTGTTCTTTGCGCTGCGCCTCTCTGGTTGGGGGAGGGTTCCGGCCTGGGCGCCCGGTGCACCGAGCCCAGCGCTGGGGAGGGGCCTCCCTGGAGCTGCCTGTCCCTCCAGAGGCGAGGGCGGGTCTGGCTGCAGGTGCTCAAGGCGCCCCCACTGCAGGCTGCTTGGGGTGGAGCAGGCCCCAGGCGAGGAGCCCTCACGGGTGGTTCCGCCAGCGCCAGCCAGTTCGGGCCACAGGGGCCGCCTGCGGGGCTCGCGGACAGGGCGGCCGCGAGCGGGGCCCCGGGGCCCCAGGCAGCTCTGGCCCGGCGTGCTGGCCCCGGAGAAGCGCGGGCGGGGACCCCACCTCTGCGGGGCTGCCCCGGGGGCGGGGCGGGGCGCGGCCGCCGTGGCCACCGTGGTCTCCGGAGAAAGAACCACACGCACACTCCGAGCCCGCGAAGCTGAGCGCAGCCGTGATGAGCGAGGGGGGCGCGGGGACAAGCCAAGGGGGGGACAGCCATCCGCCCTGCACCCCTCTTTGCACTGTGGCCCCCACCACTCGCCCCAGGCCGCACCCCAACGCCGGCGCCCCGCCTCTGCCCCGCGGGCCTCTCCTGGGGACGGCCCGGGCGGGCGGGGCGGGGCGGGGGCCGCAGGGGCGCGGCGGCTGGTGCGGGTGGCGGGTCCCAGGGTGGGGCGTCCGCGGGGGGCCGGTGGACCCCACAGGCGCGTGGGGGCAGCGGGGGGCGTCGCCTCCCAGCCGGCGCCTCGGGTTTGCGGAGAGCCGCGCCCGCCGGAGGCCCCCGGGCAGACACGGGGCGGGGGGGCTGGGGGGCTGGGGGGCCGGCGGCGCGCCCGGCGGCGCCTCAGAACTCCCAGAGCGCGGCCCCGGCGGGCGCGGGGGCGTCGGCGCGCAGCAGCCCCGAGGCGTCGCCGCGCAGGTAGCGGCCGCAGCGCGCGCGGATGGCCAGGCGGCCGCGCGCCCGGAGCTCCAGGACGAAGTCCTCGCCGCGCTCGCCGTCGCTGCGCACCGCGCCGTGGCCGCCCGTGCGCCAGAAGCCGCCGCCGCCTGCGGGAGGGCGCGCTCAGCCCCGGCCGCCCCCCGGCCCCCCGGCCCCCCGGCCCCCCGCGCCCCCCGCGCCCCGCACCGCGGATCTGGTAGGCGCCGTCGCTGAAGCTCAGGGCGAAGACGTCGTAGGCCGAGCGGTTGGTGTCCAGCTGCGCCGAGCCCCGGCGCTGGCGCACGAAGCCGTCCAGGCCGCGCAGCACGAGCCCCGGCCGGTTGACGAGCTTCAGGGTGAACTCCTCGCCCTCCCCTGGCGGGAGAGGGGGCTGGGCGCCCTGCCACCGCCTGGGGTCCGGGGCCCCGCCTGCACCCGGATCTGCTGTCCTTGGCCGGCCGCCGCCAGCCCCGGCTTCCCCCGCGGGCAGCAGACGCGGGCCCTGGGGCCTCGCTGTCCTCGGGGGCCTGATGTGGGGGCGCCCTCCCCAGGCTGGCGGGCGGCGGCGCCGGGGAGGGGCTGGCTCCTGACAGGGCAGGGCAGGCCAGTCCACGGGCGGGGAGTGCTCACCCACGAAGTCGCTGACCGCAGCCAGCTGCCCGTTCCTCTTCATGCACACGTAGCGGCCGTTGCTGGCCTTGAGGGCCACGCGCCGGCCCCGCCACTCCACCTCAAACATGGTGCTGGCTGACCTGGGGGCAGGGCTGAGCACTCAGGGCCCGCCTTGCCCAGCTGCCTCGGGTCCGGGTCCACCCTCCAGGGGACACCCATCACCACGGAGGGCCGCCCCATGCCCGGCAGCCTGCCCGCTGGACTCGTGGCCTCCAGTGGAGGTGAGCCGCACGTGAGGGGGCGGGGAGCTTACACCTGTGTGGCTGTGGCCTGGATGCCCCCATGGGTGACCAGCGCCCAGTAGGCCCCAGTGCTGGAGTAGAAGGCGCACCGCCCGGTGTCCGGGTCCATCTGCATCATGAAGGTCTCGCAATCCAGCTCCTCGTCTTGGTTGGCGGAGACGTTGACCCCTGTGGGAGGACACGGGAGCCCTCGCGCCTCTCCCCAGCGGGGCGGCCCTGTGCCCGGGGGTCCCACCCAGGAGCCCGGGACCAGAGATGTGGGCGGCCCTTCCCAGAGAGCGGGCGGCCCACTTGCCCCCAGGGCCCCCCAGCCTCGAGGCGTGGGTCCCGCCCGCTGGCGCTTGCCCTGCTCTGGGCGCCTCCATGGGGAGCACGGCAGGTTCCTACGGCCCCCACTTGTGTGTGGGCTCCACCCGGCTCCTGGGAGGGGCCTCCACGCCCCGGTGGGTGGGCAGTGGGCAGGCTCTGGGGCTCCCGGCATCTTCCCACAAACCAAGTTTCTCCTTCCCTGGCCCCTCCACGTGGCCAGGGGGTCACGGCTCCCCGCGAGGCGGTGGGGACCAGAGCCCGGGGGGCCTGAAGGTCGAGGCCACACGGGCCACTCTGTCCGAAGCCCTTCCAGGCCGGCCCCCCGGCCACTGGCCACTGCCGGCAGGCGGGAAGCAGCCCTGCTGCCCGCACCACCTGCGCGCCCCCAGCCTGGGGTGCTGCCCGCCAGCCCTGCTCCGCCACAGCCCCACCCGGCACGGGCAGGCCCCCGGCGGGCGCGGCACTGCAGAGGGCGGGGCTGGAGGGGCCTGCAGGAGCCAGGCCTGGAGCTCGGCGCCGGCCCTGCCTCCGCTGCCCGCCCGGCCCTTCTCGCGCCTCTGCCTCTGGGTCCCGAGCTCGAGGCGGGGGAGGGGCGGAGCCCCCGCCAGTGCAGGCCTCCTGGGGTTCTCGGGGGTGCGAGTGAGTAAGAGAGGGTGCTCGTGGGGACGTCGTCCTGCTCTCAGAGGACACAGAGGAGCCGGTGTCCCCCCGCCTGTCCCCCTGTGAGGCTGGAGGGGCCCAGCCACAGCGTGACCACGAGGTCAGGCCGTCCCGGGAGAGCCGCTCGGGAGGAAGGGGGCGCGGGACGTGACGGGGGTCTGGGTCCAGACGGCGCCCCGCCCTGCCCCGCCGCCCCTCCGCCTCCAGACCGGGTTTTCTCGAGCCAGCGCAGGTCCTCGGGGCCCCAGCCAGCTGCAGGCCAGTTTTCTGTTACCTGCCGCCACGGACGGTGCCGCCTGCCAGTGGGCAGCGCCAGGTCAGCGAGGGCTGGGGCGGCTGGCAGAGCCCGGCTGCTCTGAACGGTGGGCGCAGAAGAACAATCAGCAGCCGGGCGCGGACCGTCACCCAGGGGGCGGGGATGACGCCCGCGGAGCCCCTCCCGGCCGCCGGGATCCGGGGTGCCCGCCGCCCCATCCATAGCGCCTTGCGGTCGCCCGGTGGGGTCAGTTCAGTGACCCCGGGCTAAGCGGGGGGGGGCGGGAGGCCAAGGGGTGGGGTAGTGCCGGCTTCTACCAAGGGCAGCAGCGCACGTCCTTCAGGCCAGTGGGGTCAGATGCAGAGTGGTCCGGGGGTGCGAACTGTCACTCAGCCCTGCTCGTCACCCCCAGCCCGTCACCACCTACCGCGCTCACTGCCAGGCCCGCCAGCACCATCTCTGCCACCCGAGGGAGAGTCCCCAGCCTCAGGCACACCCAGCTGGAGAGACCCGTTCCCTACTCCCGGGCCGCACGAGGGGGACAATGGTCGGTCAAGGAGAGGCCTGCCCTGCCCCACGCTCCCTCCCCAGAGTCCCGCAAAGCCCAGAAGGTGGGGTGCAGAGCGAGCCCCCTCCCCATGGCCACCACCACCCCCCGGAGGGCTGGGGCTGCCCTGGGCCCCTCCTGGCCCCGGCCCTCCAGCAGCCCCAGGCAGCTGGGACGACCCCCGTGGGGCCCCTCCGCCCCGGCCCTCGCCCCAGGCCCGCCGTCACCTTGGCGCACGGACACGTAGCGGCGGTTGGCGGCCAGCAGCGCCACCTGCGGGGGGCTCTCCTCCAGCGCGAACAGCTCGTCCTTGCCGGGCCGGGTGTTGCGCCCGGCCCTGAGCGTGCCGGCGGGCCCCACGGGCGCCAGGTAGTGGCCGTCGCAGTCCTTGAGGGCCAGCTTGCCGGCCTTGAGCTCCAGGGTGTAGCAGGCGCGGGCCTCGGGCTCCCGCACCAGCCGGCCGTCCTGGCGCAGGAAGCGGCCGTCGCAGCAGCGCAGGCAGTAGCGCCGGTCCCGGAAGGCGAGGGTGACCAGCGCGCCCACGCCCCAGGGCGCATCGCTGTCCGCCACCATCTCGTCGCCCTGGGGGCACAGGTGCGCGTAGCGCCGCCGGCTCTCGCTCCGCAGGTGCGCCTGCGGGTGGATGGCCAGGTGCACGGTCCACAGCTCGGCCGCGGAGATGGCCGTGGCGAAGCAGGACAGCCGGTCCTCCGCGCCGCCGAAGAAGCGCCCGTGGGGCTCCGACCGCAGCGCCCAGCGCCCGTCCGGCTGCGGCAGGACCAGGAAGCGGCAGTCCCGGCCCGGCCGCTCCGCCTCGCAGGCCACGCGCCCGTCCTCCCCGGCTGACAGGTAGCGCCCCAGGTGGCTGCTGCGGAGCAGCACGGCCGGGCCCTGCCCCGGGCTGGGCTCCAGCACCCACGTCTGCTTCCTCTTGAGGCCTGGCGCCGAGGCGTTGACCTTGAAGCCGAAGCTCTCGGCTGTCAGGTAGCGGTCGGCGTCGTTGAGGAGGCCGAACTGGATCTTCAGCGCCCGGTGCAGGCCGTTGCCGGGCATCTTCCGGCCGCGGGTCCCCGCAAGGGCTGGGGTGGCGCGCGCCCTCACCGCGGGCCCCCACCCCCGCCCGCCCGCGGCCTGGCTCTGCTCCGCTAGCCCTCGGCCCCCAGGCCTGCCGTGGGGTGGACCCGCCGGCCGCTCAGGCGCTGCCTCTGACCGTGGGGTGGGCCGGGGCGGCTCTTAGCGGCTGGCCGGCGGCGGAGCGAGCTCCGGCGGCTCAGGAGCCACCGGGTCCCGGGTCCCCCTGGGATTTCAGCCGCTCGGGACACCCCGACGGTTGGAGCTGGGCCGTGGGCTGGCCAGGGCCGACCCCGCTGCGTCCTTGCCGGCGCTCCCGGGCCCCTCCTGGCCCCTGGCCTCTCGCCCCCTCCCGCTGCGGCCCCCGCCCGCGCCCCCGCACGACTGACCGGCCACAGCCCGCTCGCCCTGCCCGTGGAAAACTCGTGGTGCGGCCGCAACCCGATCGCAGCCTCCGCCCTCAGCGGCCGCCAGACCCTCAGCCAGATCCAGTTACGCGTCTCTGGTTCCCACTGCCCGGCCTGGCGAGGCCCCCGCGCAAGTGGGCAGGCGGGCAGGCGGCTCACGCGGCGGCCACTGACGAGGGAGCCGCGGCGCCTGCAGAGCAGGAGGGTGACCGGCGGAGCGGCTGGCCCCGGCAGGAGGGCGGCCTGCTGAGCCCCGGACGCGCCGAGGTGAGCGGGGAGCGGCCCCCTGCGTGGCTGGGGCGGCCTGCCCGTCCCCGCGGGGTGGGGCACATGGGGAGCCCGCTCGGCGGAGAACGAGGCAGCAGGCCAGGGGGACGCCGCCACCCCCCCATCCCCTTGCGCCCCAGCCCAGCCGCCGGGAGCTGCCCACTGGACCATCTTCCCAAGACTGCCGTGGGTGCCCGGGACTGGCAGCCATCCTGCCTGTCCGTGCCCTGCACCTGCCGCGGGGGCTGGGAGCCAAGTCATGAAAGCAGAGCCGTCCGTGTGGGCCCCGCCAGCAGGCGCCTCCTCCTCAGCCCGTGCGTGACCTCACGCCTCCGGGGCACTGGGGCCAGGGCGCTCCAGAGTCCAGGCACCCTGTGGTCCTGACGCCTCGGCAGCACCCCCTCCCGCCCAGGGCAGGCAGACCTGAGCCTGATGCGTGGGCATCTGCTGGGAGCCAGCTGCTAACTGGACACGGGTGCATTGGGCAGCTAGGCGGCCGGCTACATGGCCCCTGGTCCCGATTCTCAGAGATGGAAAGAGAGGTCCGAGGAGGCCAAGGGGTCAGGGCCTGCCCTGTCAGCCGCCCCTCTGCTGGCTGTCGTGGACCTGGGGCAGGCGGGCAGGGGCAAGGCGTCTTCGGCCTCCAGGCCCAGGACGTGCCGACGCCAGGAGAGCAGCCCCCCACCACCGAGGGGGCCAGCGCAGGGTTGGGGGAGCGGCGCGCAGATCCCCGGGGCACGCGCATTTACAGGGAGCCAGCCGCGTGCGCGTCGGGCTGTGGGCTGGGCCAGGGACCGTGCGTCCACAAAACACGCCAGGCCCTGGAAACAGCCTCAGTGCTGAGGCGCATCCCCACCCCCAGTGCACGCTGGTGCCCACGTTGGCACTTATGTCCAGGGCCCGGGCACAGCTGGGCGGCCCTCAGGTCAGGCTGGTGCCCTCTGCACCCCACCCAGCCAGCAGCGTGACGGCCTCCCGGACAGAGCCGGGCCAGGGGACTCTGAGAGGTCAGCCCCATTGGGGGGAGGCAGTGCCCCTGTTGTCCCCCCAAGTGCCAGATGCTAGGGCATGGCCTCATTCTGGGCCTCCATGCTTCTGGCACACAGTAGGTGCTTAATAACTTCCCATGAACCTTGTGGGCGCTGGTTTGCGCGCCATGAGCCAAGTCTCCGCAGCTGGAGCTGACGGCGTGTGAGCATGTGCACGTGAGTGTGTGTGCAGTCCAGCCTGGGCAAGTGTGCCCACCCATTGCACACCTGTGCGAGGTGGTCACATGGCGGGGGCTGTGCCGAGCCAACCTCCCCAGGGAATGCTGAGTTCTGCCTGCTGCCCCCGCTGCCCGGCAGGGTGACCGCTATGCACTCCGGCCAAGGTGGTGGCCAGTCCCGGCTGTGTGCTGGGCACCTGGACCCAACACAGGCCCAGCCTGCTGCCCAGCTGCCGTCTTGACGGCTGGACTGGGCAGGGCGCCCGCGAGGGGCCATGGGGCAGCAGCTGTGGCCCTGCTCCGGGGAGTGACAGTGGGCACGGGCACGCCAGTGGGCCCTCTGACGGCAGCTGAGCCTGGAAGGTGGTGTCTCAGCTTGGCCCCCCGCCCCTCGCTGAGGGGCCACCTGGGGCCAGCAGATGGGGCTCTGAAGCCCCCCGGCCCCTGGCATCTGGCCGGAGCACTCTGGAAACTGCTCCTTCCCAGGGGCGGGGGGCACAGGCCTCCCCCCTCCCGGTGGGCCCTCTGAGGGAAGGACCCCTACCCATGCCTGTCTAGGCCGCCGCCCCCCAGCCCAGCCTGGACTCCTGCCAGCACGCTGCCTGCTGCTGTGGGGACCGGCCGGGCGGCTGAGGGCGGCTGGGGGTGGCCTGGGAACAACCCAGGCTGAGGCCCCACCTCTGAGCCCCGCCCAGGTCAGGTCCCCCCGCACAGGCCCTGCGGCCCCCTCCCCTGCAGGGCGGCTGGTCTCTGGGACCAGGAGCCCCTTGGCCCGGCCCCGCTGGCCGCTCCTCGGTGGGCACCCTGGCCCCAAGCTCCCAACCCCCGGAGGCCAGGGCTGCCCTTGCTGGACGCGGCCCAAAGTCCTGATTTCTGCTCCGTGTCCATCGGCTGCTCGCGGGCTGCTTGGCAGGAGCCAGGGCCACCCCTGGCATGTTCTGGACGTGGCCCGGGCCAGGGCACCCCATGAATTTTTCATGGCACAGCCCTGTGCTCCTCTCGGCTCCACTTACTGTGGCCGGCGGGCGGCGGGCACTGGCCACCGAGCCCACTCTGGCCTGGGGGTTTGCTGGAGGCCTGCAGGGGCTGGGGTGACTGGCCGCCCGGCCGGGCAGGGGGAGGGCAGCGCGGGGATGAACAGTGTGGGCAGGGGAGGAGGGGCAAAGGGAAGGAATATCAAGGAGTAAACAATAGCCAAGAAGAAGCCTCAGCGTGAGGACAGAAACGCAAGGGACGACAGCAGTGACGCGGCTGCCAGCCACCCAGGGCCTGAAGCCACCCGCCAGGAGGGCTCCGGGGCGCCGGGGGGAGTGCCGGGGGGGGGGGCTGAGCGCGTTCCCAAGAATGCCATCCCAGACCAGTGAGCTCCAGGTCCCAGGCGGCCGCGGTACAGGCCAGGGGGCTCCCCCACCAAGCAGGGGCCATCTGCGCATCCCGCGGGGTCGGCCCCTGCCCCTGCCCCGCTGGCCCCCCTTCCAAAGGGGAGGACAGAGTTGGGGAGACTGGACTGAGGGGTTCGCCGGAGCGCTCAGGCCCCCTGGAGGTGCTGGTGGGTGGGGGCTGTTCCCGGGGGGTCCCCACACCTGCCCGGCCCCGCCCCGTGCTTGCTGTCCTGGTGGCCCGCGGCCCTCAGGCTGGCCCCGCAGCCCCCCCCAAGCGCGCGGGCCGGGAAGTGGGAGGGACTTGCTGCCACCGGCCATGGGGGTGGCCGAGGCCCACCCATAGGTGCCAGCACCATCCTCCCTGTCGCGTGGCCCTGACCCCTTGGCCTCCTCGGACCTCTCCTCCCATCTCTGAGAATCGGGACCAGGGGCCATGCGGCCGGCCACCTAGCTGCCCCACGCGCCCGCGTCCACTCAGCAGCTGGCACCCAGCAGATGCCCACGCATCGGGCTCAGGTCTGCCTGCCGTGGAGGCCTGCAGGGAGGCCTCAGGAGCTGCCCTCTGCCTCCAGACGGGAGGTGCCCTGGGCCCTGGACGCAGGCGGGGCCCGAGGCTGGCCTGCTCCGGCCCCCACGCCGCCTCTGCCTGCATCAGCGCCGCTGAGGTCACCGGCCGCTCCCAAGCCGCTCCCAAGCCCCGGTGGCTGACTCTGTGGCCAGCAGCAGCCGGCAGTGGCCTCGGGGCCTTGTCCCCGCTGGGGAGCGCGCGCCCCTCGGGGCGGAGGGGCGGCAGGAGCGGGGCCTGGCTGCGGCCGCAGGGCCCCCCCTGGTGGCCCGCCCGGGAAGCTGCCCGTGGCCACTACTCCCTGGCCCCCCAGCATGAGTGCTGAGTGGGCCCCACCCCGGCGATTGCCAGAGCCGCCCCAGGCATGGGCGGGGGTGCCGGCTGCCGGACTCCCGGGCTCTGACCCTGTCGTCTCGGGCCCATCTTCTAGAGACACTGAGGCACAGAGATGGCCCAGACCCAGGTTCCGGGAGCCGTCACGCGGGAGACACCCTCGACGAATGCCGGGCTAGGGCTGGGGGGGGCAGCGGGCCCGGCGACCCTGCACCTGAGCCCCAGACTGCACACAGCGGCGTCTGCACCCTGGGTCAGCTCGGCTGCGGCACTGAGGCCTGTGCCCGGCAGAGGCGGGTCCTCGCGGCCTGGCACCGGGCGCTTCTGGCCACATTGATGGCTCTGCAGGGATGGGGCTAGTGCAGGAGGGGGCTTGGCCTCGGGGTGTGCCCCCAGGCAGCTGGCCAGTCAGTGCCTGCTGTCTGCGCTGGCATAACCAGGGCCCTGCTGGGTACCAGAGCAGGGACAGAAGCCCATGGCCTTGACCTTGTCCTTTGACTTGAATCTCAGAGTCAGCCAGGCCACATCCGTAGGAACCTTCTCTGGACGGCAGTCCTGGGGACCACTGTCCATAGACAGAGCTGCCCAGCCCCTCAAGGTACTGGACGTTAGGTCTGGGAATGACCATCTGGGTCACATCTGTCCACAAGGCTGCAGGGCATGAGCAGCAGCAGGGCAGCTTCAGTTTTCTTTAGGTTCTTTTTTTTTTTTAAGATTTATTTATTTATCTATACGAGCACTGGGTACAGTTAGAAGCGCGGGAGGGTGAGAGGATCCACCAGAGCCAGAGCGGGGAGCAGAGCAGGCAGAAGGACCGAAGGACACTGCTGAGGGGAGCAGCGGGCGGCAGGAGAGGTCTGCGCGCCATGCGGGACCCTCACCCGGCGGCTGGGGACCGAACTTGGGTTCTTTTTTTCCTAAGATTTATTTCTTTATGCACACAAGAGCTGGGTGCAGGCCAGAGGTGTGGGGGGTGAGAGGACTCCCCAGGGACAGAGTGGGGAGCAGAACAGGTGGATCCACTGAAACCCACTGCTGAGGGGAACAGTGGGGAGACAGGAGGGGTCTGCTATGCCCTGGGGTGAGGTCACTCCCTGGCTGGAGATTGAACTCGTGCCGCAGAGGCTGGCGATAGCTCCAGAGCGCTGTGTCTGACTCCTGCGCCCGGGGGGGCCAGTCCTTAGGTTCTTTTTTTTTTTTTTTTTTTTGTGGGACCCTCACCGGGGAATGAACCGGCGCTGCAGAGGCTGCGGGCAGCCCCGCAGCCCAGCGCTCAACCGCTGCGCCACCAGGGGAGGTGCAGGTCTTACGTTCTTTTAAGGAAACACAGTTTTAGGGGTACAGGGAGGCGGCATCCGGGGCTGGGCCAGCCTCACGCCTGCTACGCAGCCCAGCTTCGTGCTCAGCGTCCATGGGGAGCCGCCCGCGGCGCTGCTTGGTTCCAGGGTCATCCCCGCAGCCGGCGTTGCGTTTGGAGGGAGGGGATGGCAGAGGCCAAGGCCAGGGCGGGGCCTCCTCACAAGTGCCGACTGCCAGCTGGACAGTCCCCCTGGCCGGGCGGCAGGCAGGGGCCATGGACCTGCTGTGGAGCCGACCCGGCTCCCGGGGAGCAGAGGGCGGGGCGGGGCGGGGACAGGCCCGTGGGTGTGGGACACCCGGGGAGTCCAGGGACGGGGGTGGGGGTGGGGGGGTGGGGGGGTGGGGGGAGTCCAGGGCCGGGGGAGTCCAGGGCCGGGGGGGGGAGTCCAGGGGTGGGGGGAGTCCAGGGCCAGGGGAGTCCAGGGGCGGGGGGGAGTCCAGAGGCGGGGTAGTCCAGGGCCGTGGGAGTCCAGGGACGGGGGGGGGGGGGGGGGGGTGTGTGTGAGTCCAGGGGGGGGGGGGGGGGAGTCCAGGGGCGGGGGGGAGTCCAGGGCCAGGGGAGTTCAGGGGCGGGGGGGAGTCCAGGGCCGGGGAAGTCCAGAGGCGGGGTAGTCCAGGGCCGTGGGAGTCCAGGGACGGGGGGGGGGGGGGGGGGGGTTTGAGTCCAGGGGCGGGGGGGGGGGAGTCCAGGGGTGGGGGGGGAGTCCAGGGCCAGGGGAGTCCAGGGGCGGGGGGGAGTCCAGGGCCGGGGAAGTCCAGAGGCGGGGTAGTCCAGGGCCGTGGGAGTCCAGGGACGGGGGGGGGGGGTTTGAGTCCAGGGGCGGGGGGGGGGAGTCCAGGGGTGGGGGGGGAGTCCAGGGCCAGGGGAGTCCAGGGGCGGGGGGGAGTCCAGGGCCGGGGAAGTCCAGAGGCGGGGTAGTCCAGGGCCGTGGGAGTCCAGGGACGGGGGGGGGGGGGGGGGGGGGGGGGGGGGGTGAGTCCAGGGCGGGGGGGGGGGGAGTCCAGGGCCAGGGGAGTCCAGGGGCGGGGGGGAGTCCAGGGCCGGGGGAGTCCAGAGGCGGGGTAGTCCAGGGCCGTGGGAGTCCAGGGACGGGGGGGGGGGGGTTTGAGTCCAGGGGCGGGGGGGGGGGGGGGGAGTCCAGGGGTGGGGGGGGAGTCCAGGGCCAGGGGAGTCCAGGGGCGGGGGGGAGTCCAGGGCCGGGGAAGTCCAGAGGCGGGGTAGTCCAGGGCCGTGGGAGTCCAGGGACGGGGGGGGGGGGGGGGGGGGAGTCCAGGGGCGGGGGGGGGGAGTCCAGGGCCAGGGGAGTCCAGGGGCGGGGGGGAGTCCAGGGCCGGGGGAGTCCAGAGGCGGGGTAGTCCAGGGCCGTGGGAGTCCAGGGACGGGGGGTCGGGGGGAGTCCAGGGGCGGGGTGGAGTCCAGGGCCAGGGGAGTCCAGAGGCGGGGGAGTCCAGGGACGGGGGAGTCCAGGGACGGGGGGAGTCCAGGGACGGAGGGGGGAGTCCAGGGCCGGGGAGTCCAGGGGCCGGGACGGGGCCGGGGCCAGGAGGTGGGCGCCCCGCCGCCCCGAACCCGGGTCCTGTTTTCTCCACCACAAAGGGGCTGGAGGTGAGGCGCGCCGCCCGGGTCACAGGACGAGGACAGACCTGGCCTCCGCGCGCCCCGCGCCTCCGCCCCCGGGCGGCCGCCCCCCGCTCCCGGGAGGCCAGGCGCCCCCGGCCGGGCTCCGCGCCCGCGCCCGGGGCGACCTCGGCGGGCGGCGCCGGCCCCGCCCCGCCACGCCCCGGGCCGGGCCGCCCCGCGCCCCACCTGGGCCCGCCCGGCTCCCGCCGCCCAGGTGCGCCGGGGACGTCGCCCGCTCCGGCCCCCCGGCCCCGCGCCGCCCCCGCCCCGGCCCGGCGGCCAATCGGCGGCCTCCGTGACTAAATAAGGCGAGGCGCGCCCCGCGCCCCCGCCCCCGCCCCCCGCCCGCGCTGACTCAGGCCGGGGCGCCGGCCGGGATCCCCAAAGACGGACGCGCCTCTCACCTGCGCCCGCACCTGGCCCGGCCCCGCCGGCCGCCCCGCCCCCGCCGGCGGCCGGCCCGGGGGGAGCCCCGGGAATCCCGGGGTCCCGGCCTGCGGGGGGCAGGGAGCGCGGGGCGGGGCGGGTCCGCTGTGCCAGGCGCCGACCCGGAGCCCCCGCCCGGCCGCCCAGACAAAGGGGCGCGCGGGAGCCGGAGCCCGAGCGGGCGCGGCGCGGGCCGGGGAGGCCCCGGGAGGCCCCGCCCCGCTGCCCCGGGGGGTGGGGCCCGCGCCGGACCCGCTGCAGGTGCTCCCTGCGCCCCGGGAAATCCGGGACGGGGCGCCCCGCGGGGCCTGGCGGCCAGCGCCCCCCGGGCAAGGCCTCGGCGCCTGGGCGCTGCCGGCCGCGGGGGAGCGGGGCGCCCCCCCACCCCCGCCGCGGATGCGGCACCAGCTGAGCTTCCGGCCCTCGGGGCCCCGCCCCCCGCCCCCCCCGCCAGGTGCGCGGAGGACCGCGGCCCCCGAAGGGGCGCCTCCCCGGCCCCCGCCCCTGGCCCCGGCTCCCGCGGCCCTCGAGCCCCCGCCCTGCCCCCCCGCACCCGAAACGCGGGCGCCAGCAGGTGCGGCGGGCCCTGCGGGGCCTCCAGCGCGGGCGCGGGTCCACTTGGGGACCCCCACCCGGGAGGACCCAAAGGCCAGGGCGGCCGGCGCCAGCAGGGAGGGTCTGGGCTCCGCGCCCCACGGCAGAGGCGTGGGGGGCGCGGCCGGGGTCGCAGCCCGCTCCAGCCCCGACCCCTCCCCGGCGCAGGGGCGGGTCCCGGGTCCCGGGGTGCAGCTGGGGTGCCGTCCCGCCTCGGCCGTGCCCGCGGCCCAGGGACACTGACGCGAGACAAAGCCCCGCCGCCCCCGCGGGGGCCCGCCGCGGGGACAGTCCGGCCCAAGTTTCGGGGGGCGCCAGGCGCCCGGGGGGTGGACGCGGCCTGTCCTGCCGCCGCGAGGAAGGGCCGGGCCAGCGGCCCCCGGGTGGGCGGCGCGGTCGGGGCTGTGCTGGGGGGCGGGTCTCTGCTCCCGGGGCTCGCCCGATCGCGGGGCCCAGAGCGCCCCCTGGGCGGCCCGCGGGCCCCCCGCCCGGCACCGGCTCCCGGCACCGGCTCCTCTGCCGCGCCGCGCGGGAGCCAAGCCCCCGGTGGGGTCGAGCCTCCGGGCCGCACCCCGACTCGGGGCGCAGCGCAGCCGCGGGCCGGGCGGTTTCGGGGTGCAGCCGGTCTCCCCGCCCCGCGGCGCGCGGCCCCGCCACTCGAGTCCCGGCGACCCCCGGGGTTCGCGGCCGCTCCGAGCGCGCGGACGCGGGGGCGGCGCGGGCGGGGCCGTTGGGGGCGGCGCGGGCGGGGGGCGGGGCCGGGCGCGGGGCCCCACGTGCCCCGGCCGGGCGGGCCAATGGGCGCCCGGCATTCGGAAAGATCGCCATATATGGGCAAGTTCTGGGGCCGCGCGCGCCGCCGGGCCGCGCGCGCCCCCCGCTCTCGCTTAAATAGTGGCGGGGGAGGCCGCGGTCGCCCTCACTCGCCGCCGCCGGCCCGCGCTCCGCGTCTCCCGCCGCCCTCGCCGCCGCCGCCGCCTCCGCCCCGCTCCCGCGGCCGCCGCCTCCGCCGGTAAGGGCCCGCGCCCCGCGCCCCCCCGCCCGCCCGCCGCTCCCCGGGCGCCCCCCGCCCGCCCGCCGCGCCCCGGGCGCCCCGGGACCCGGGACCAGGGGCGGGGGGGCCCCGGGGCCGCCGGCCGGCCGGCCCGGCCGCGCCCGCCCCTGACCCGCGCCGGCCCCTGCCCCGCCCGCAGCCCGCCATGGAAGAGGAGATCGCCGCGCTCGTCATCGACAACGGCTCCGGCATGTGCAAGGCGGGCTTCGCCGGCGACGACGCGCCGCGCGCCGTGTTCCCGTCCATCGTGGGGCGCCCGCGGCACCAGGGCGTCATGGTGGGCATGGGCCAGAAGGACTCGTACGTGGGCGACGAGGCGCAGAGCAAGCGCGGCATCCTGACGCTCAAGTACCCCATCGAGCACGGCATCGTCACCAACTGGGACGACATGGAGAAGATCTGGCACCACACCTTCTACAACGAGCTGCGCGTGGCGCCCGAGGAGCACCCCGTGCTGCTGACCGAGGCGCCGCTGAACCCCAAGGCCAACCGCGAGAAGATGACCCAGGTGAGCGCGCGCGGCCCCCCGAGCGGCCCCGCCGGCGCCCCCCCCCGCGCCGCGTGTCCCCCGCGGCTCAGGCGCGCCGTCCCCGCAGATCATGTTCGAGACCTTCAACACGCCGGCCATGTACGTGGCCATCCAGGCCGTGCTGTCCCTGTACGCCTCGGGCCGCACCACGGGCATCGTCATGGACTCGGGCGACGGCGTCACGCACACGGTGCCCATCTACGAGGGCTACGCGCTGCCGCACGCCATCCTGCGCCTGGACCTGGCGGGCCGCGACCTGACCGACTACCTCATGAAGATCCTCACGGAGCGCGGCTACAGCTTCACCACCACGGCCGAGCGCGAGATCGTGCGCGACATCAAGGAGAAGCTGTGCTACGTGGCGCTCGACTTCGAGCAGGAGATGGCCACGGCCGCGTCGTCCTCGTCGCTGGAGAAGAGCTACGAGCTGCCCGACGGCCAGGTCATCACCATCGGCAACGAGCGCTTCCGCTGCCCCGAGGCGCTCTTCCAGCCGTCCTTCCTGGGTAGGCGGGGCGCCGCGGGCGGGCGGGCGGGCGGGGGGCGCCGCGCGGCGGGCGGGCGGGCGGGGGCGCCGGGCCCGGCCCCCCCGACCCTGACCGCCGGCGCCCGCAGGCATGGAGTCCTGCGGCATCCACGAGACCACCTTCAACTCCATCATGAAGTGTGACGTGGACATCCGCAAGGACCTGTACGCCAACACGGTGCTGTCGGGGGGCACCACCATGTACCCCGGCATCGCCGACCGCATGCAGAAGGAGATCACGGCGCTGGCGCCCAGCACCATGAAGATCAAGGTGCGCGGGGGGCGCGCGGGGGGCGGGGCCGGGCGCGCTGGGGGGGGGGCCGGGCGCGCCTCACCCCGCCCTGTCTCCGCAGATCATCGCGCCCCCGGAGCGCAAGTACTCGGTGTGGATCGGCGGCTCCATCCTGGCCTCGCTGTCCACCTTCCAGCAGATGTGGATCAGCAAGCAGGAGTACGACGAGTCGGGCCCGTCCATCGTGCACCGCAAGTGCTTCTGAGCCCCCGCCGCGGAAGGAACGTCCTCGCAGCTCGTCCCGACGCCGGCGCGGGGTTGTGGGGCTCGTTGCTGACCCGACCTTGTTTTCGGTTTCTGCCCCTCGCCCGCCAGCGCCCCGCGCCCGCCCTGAGGCCGGGGAGGCGGCCGGGTGGTGGCGGGCGCGGGCCGGGCCGGCTGACCGCGGGGGCCCGGCCTGCGGCCCCTTTTCTTTCTTTCCTGATGTTTCCCCGCCGAGCGCCTCGGCTCGTTACTTGCCTCGAGGTGGGACCAGTTCGCATTTACACCTGTAAATTTATTCCTCCTTTTAATTTATGTAATAAGGTTTTTGTACGCGACTCTCTGGGAGAGAGAACAACGACTTTTGGTTTTCTACTGTTATGTGAGAACATTAGGCCCCGGCAACACGTTTGTGAGGAGAATAAAGTGCTGCAGTAAAGGGGCCGCCTCCTGCTTGGGCCGGGGCGGGGCGCGCGGGGGAGACCTTGCCGGCTGCTGCACCGCCGGGCTGGGCCGGGCTTCAGGCTGCAGCAGCCCCGCGGAGGGGGTGAGTCCCGAGGTGGCCCTGGAGGACGCCCGGGGTTCTTGGTGCGGCCGCGCGGGCATGTGCCCGTGGCCAGGCTCCCTGCCTGCCTGCCTGCCTGCGGGGCGAGCGAGGCGGGGCAGGGAGCTGGCCTTTCTCCAGCTGATGAGCTCTCCGGGCAGGGCTGGCACTGCCCCAGCTTCTGGGGAAGGGGCTCCGGGCCAGGAGGAGGCAGGGGGTGACACTGGCACTGCTGCTGCAGGGGAGAGCGCACCCTGCTGCTCCCAGGGCTCCCGTGTCCTGCCCACAGCAGTCACTGGCTGGAGACAGCAGCTGCCCAAGGGGCGTGGCCAGGAGCGCAGGCCTGAGCCTGAGCCCCTGCGAAGGAGCCAGGGAGATAAAGACCTGCTCCGACCCCCTCTGCCCTTCCTGGCCTTGGGGACGGTCCCTCCCTCCTGTGCTCCTGCCCCTCTGCCCTAGCAGAGCTGTCCATAGGGTTGGGAACCACCTGCAGGCACACCAGCCCTCCCTGCCATGGGGGCGTGGTTTCTGCAGCGTTGGGGGTATGGCCTTCCCCTCTGGTGCCTGGACAGAAAGGTGTCAGTGTAGTCTCCAGAGAGCCATGGGGCGTGGAATTCACTACAGGCAAGAAGAGAGGCCTGGGCATTGCTGGTCCGAGCCTGCAGGAGGTGCCCAGTGACTGCAGCTCCCTTGTCGGCACCTGCTCTAGGAAGCGGAGTCCTGAGCACCCAGTGTCAACAGGGACGCGGCTCCAGGCTGAGAACAAAGTGCTATAGAGAGCTCAGCACCCCTGAGATAGTCCTGGAGGCAGGGGCCTGTGGGATGCGGGTAGAAGCAAGGTGGAGGTTCACCCAGAGGCACCTGGAGCTGCCCAGCACTGTGGGGAAGGGGGCATGCCAGGGACAGAGAGCTGTGCTTAAATGTGCCAAAGTGAGCATCTGATCAGGGTCCGGCATCCTGAATATATAAAGAGTTTCTAGAAGTCAACAACAAAAGCAACCCGACCAAAAAATGGGCCAAGGATTTAAACACGCATTTTCCCCAAAATGTACATCAAATGATGAAGGAATGAGGGGCCTGTCTACCATGGAATATGATTCAGCCGTAAAAGGAACAAAGTTCGAACAGTGAAATACAGATGACCCTTCACAACATGCTGAGTGACGCAGCGGGCACAGAGGCTGTACCCAGGACAGGCGCTGGGCAGGCAAACCCGGGGTCAGCAACGGCCAAGGGAGGGGGAGCAGGGGCGGAGTCATGGGCAAGGGTGTTGCATGGGGCCCCAAGGACGTTCTGGAACTTGCTGCAGGTGGTGGCTGCGCCACATGGATGTACTAGGTGCCACTGACTTGTGCCCTTTGCCGATAATGGCCAACGTGAACCTTGCATGTCTGTTACCACAGTGAAACAGCTACACAGCACAGGGGCCACCTGCCTGGCACAGACACCTGTGCCCTGGGCAAGGTGGGCACGGGGCGGGTGGTGAACTGAGGAGGCCACATCTGAGCAGTCTCCAGGGCCAACCTCTCACTTATCCCCAGGCCTGGACACTCAGGGCCTGGGCCCTGCCCACACCTGGGCCCTGGGGGAGAATTCCAGGCCTGGGTCCCCTCCTCTGGGAAGGCCTCCCTGACACCCCCCATTACAGACTCCCCATGAGCCCCCGGACCTCTCAGAACCAGTGCCACACTCGGCCACTCTGAATGGGCGCAGCTCACCGATCCCCAAATACCACAGCCAGAGGACCCGCCAGGACCTGCCCACGGCACCCCGGACAGGCCAGCGCCCAGCGTGATTACAGCCCTTGGGGCACCCGCATGGGGTTCCTTATTCCGTTTAGCAGGAGCGAGGGGACCTCGGAGGCAGGCTTGAGGCACAGGAAGGGGCGGTTGGGCTCCCTGCATCCAGGGCCCCGGATGAGGACCGTAGGCCGGCTCGCCCAGCCCGCCGCCGGCTCTCCCCTCCAAGGGTCACAAGGACAGTTCTCGAAGAGTGACGCGTACCTGCCACGTTGCTCTCACGCCTCCTAAAAATATTTTATTTGGTAATTCTTGTTTCTTGAAATTTGAAAATTTTTAATGAAAGCAGAGATATTTTGTGCTATTAGTAATGTGAATTCTTTTTGCAAGTTCCTTTTGACAGTGGAAACCAGACTTTGAGAAGCGAGCTTTTTTTTTTTTTTTTTTAAGATTTATTTATTTATTTACACAAGCACTGGGCACAGTCAGAAGCGCGGGAGGGTGAGAGAATTCCCCAGAGCCAGAGCGGGGAGCAGAGCAGGCAGAAGGACCGAAGGACACTGCTGAGGGGAGCAGCGGGCGGCAGGAGGGGTCTGCGCGCCGTGTGGGACCCTCGCTGGTGGCCGGGGAGCAGCCGGGGATCGAACTGGCACTGCAGAGGCTGTGGGCAGCTTCGCAGCCCAGCGCTCAACCGTTGCGCCACCAGGGGAGACCCTTCTTTTTTGTTTTTTAAGATTTATTTATTTATAGATACAAGAAGTGGGGTACGGGCCAGAGTTTTGGGGGGATGAGAGGATTCACCAGAGACAGAGTGGGGAACAGAACAGGCGGGTCCACTGAAACACACTGCTGAGGGGAGCAGCGGGTGAGTCAGGAGAGGTCTACTGCGCCCTGTGGGTCACCTCCCTGGCCGAGGAATTGAACTTGTGCTGTAGTGGCTGCGGTGAGCTTCATAGGTTGCGTCTTAACCCCTTGCGCCACCAGGGAGGTCCTTCTTCTCTCTCTCTCTCTTTTTTTAAAGATTTATTTCATTTATTTTTGTGTAGAAGAGCTGGGGTTCAGGCCAGAGGTGCACATCTACTCTGTCTCTGGGGAGTCCTCTCACCCCCCCTCACCTTTAGCCTGCACCCCAGCTCTTCTATGCAAAAATAAATAAAACAGGGCCTCCCCGGTGGCGCAGCGGTTGAGCGCTGGGTTGCGAAGCTGCCCGCAGCCTCTGCAGCACCGGTTCGATCCCCGGCTGCTCCCCGGCCACCGGAGGAGGGTCCCGCATGGCGCGCAGACCTCTCCTGCCGCCCGCTGCTCCCCTCCCAGTGTCCTTCGGTCCTTCTGCCTGCTCTGCTCCCCGCTCTGGCTCTGGTGAATTCTCTCACCCTCCCGCGCTTCTGACTGTGCCCAGTGCATGTATAAACAAAACAAACAAACAAATAAATAAATAAATAAACATGCCTCTATAAAAAAAAAAAATAATAAAAAAAAATAAATGAAACAAATCTTAAAAAATAAGTTGCTCTTTTACTGTCTAAGTTTTAGGATAAAACCATAGGTAACTGGGCTTGAAATTTTCTTCTTCTTAAATACATGTATTTAAGATAACCTATACCCTCTAAGCACTGTTTTAGCTCCATCTCCAAATTTGGATATATTGTGTGTGTGTGTTTTTACCATTTGGTTCAAAATATGTTCTAATATGGTGATTTCTTTTATACTCCATGGGTTGATTATATATTTCCCCTCTAGTCATGCCCTCTGTGGGTTATTTAGGAATGTATTGTTTACTTCCAAATGCTTTTTAGAAATTCCAGAATCTTTTTTTTTGGTTGATTTTTACTTTAATGCTATTGTGGTCAGAAAAGTTATTCTATTTGATTTCACTCCTTTTCAACCTACTGAAACTTGTTTCATGCCCCAGAATTATTTGGTAAATTTTAGTAAATTTTCCGCACTTGAAAAGGCTGTGCACTCCATTGTGCTGAATGCAAAACCTAGAAATGTCAGTGAGGTCAAGTTTTGATAGGGTTGAGTGCAGTTCAAATCTTCTATGTCCCTACCAACTTTTTTCTTTGATTGTTCTTTCAGTTTCTCAGAGAAGGCTGCTGAAATCTCCACCTCTACTTGTGAATTTTCTGTGAGTTTTTGTCTCATATATTTTGTTTTTGTTTAAAAAAATTATTTATTTATTTATGCATACAAGAGCTGGGGTGTAGGCCAGAGGTGCAGGAGGGTGAGGGGACTCACCAGAGACAGAGTGGGGAGCAGAACAGGTGGATTGACTGAAATACACTACTGAGGGGAGCAGCAGGCAAGACAGGAGAGGTCTGCTGTGCCATGTGGGTCAGTTCCCTGGCTGGGGATCGAACTCGTGCTGCAGTAGCTATGGATTGCTTCAGAGTGCTGACGCGTAGCTCCTTGTACCATCAGGGAGGCCCCTGTCTCATATATTTTGAAGTCTTGTTGTTAGAGGAATACCTCCCTTTAGGATTGTTATGTCTTCATTGCTGGACTCTTGTCCTCAAGGTTACGTTGATAGTGATCAACTCCTCTTTCTTATGATTAGTGCTTGCATGACAAACACGTTCCATTCTTTAACTTTGAGCCGAGTTATAATTGAAGTGTGTTTCTTGCACACATCAGCTATTTCACTCTTGTGTTTTAATCCAGCATGTCAATCTCTGACTTTTACTTGGAGTATGTAGACCATTTATATTTAATGCAATTGGTGATGTGGTTGAGATTAAGTATTCCATCTTGTTCTTGAGTGGGTTTAGCATTCCATGTTATTTCCTCAATTGACTTATTTAGTAAGTCTATTTCGTTCCTTCTCTCTCTTTTGCTCTTGTTCCTGCTCTAGGGTTTA